GGGTTGTTCTTTTGCCTCTCTGATATCACCACTATCAGACCATGTCCTGCTCCTTGGGACACCCATCGCACACAGGTGTTATAAGCAGGTCGGATCCTGGGGCTGGCAGCAAATAACAATTAGGGATGTCCTCGAAAACATACCTGAGTCAATATGTTCTCATATGGAGTAAATCCAAAATTCTTTGCCTATTTTTGACAGCCTGAAAGAACCCCTGAGTGGGAAAGGCCCTCTCAGGGATGACGTCTGCACCCCAGTTCACTCCTGTATTCATATCCCACATCCTCATGTTTCACTCCTGACCTACTGGAACATTCCTAGTGATGTTCCTCTGAGAAAGAAATTTACTTAAATAAAGAGAGAAAATGTTGCCTGTCACTTTCTCAACTGGGAATCAATTAGTGTTTTAATTACAGGACAGGTACTAAAAACTACTCCCTGGTGATTGCAACACCCGAGGCAGATGACCTCCAGGTAGCACTTCAAGTTACTGATGTCTGTTCCACCAATACCTCTCACCCTTTTCCCAAAAGCTCAAGCAACTTTGATAAGATACAAACACTTCGGTTACAACCACCCAAGGCAGCTGACAAAACTGCTGCAGCTAGCAAAAAAATTTTCCAGCTGGAGAATTCAAAGCAGTTTTGGGCCGTGCCTAGTCGCAAGGCAGGCTATTCCTGAACCAGCGGTGGAACTCAAGCCCTGGTACCATGTCCTGAACCCCCAGGCAATGAGAGGCCACTAACACTGCAAGAAGCAGAACTGCTCCACTTCTCCCACCTGATGGATGTTGGACTCCTGCACTTTAATTTCCTGTGGACTGGATCGGGATGGATTCAGAAAGTAGCCGTGGTTCTCCACCACGCCAGGGGTCTTCAACAAGCAGGAGATATTTAAAATGGCACCAAGCAAAGTCTTCTGGTACATCTGTCCATTGCTGGGATCCTTGGGCTGGATGTAGCCTGCAAAAACCTAGGGAACACATCAGGACATGTTGACTGTTGTCCAAAATCCCAGTAAAACTGATGGGTTTGTGACAGGCTACGAAAAATGAAGGGAGGGGTGTGACTACAAATATCAGGTGTTGTTACACCACACCGCTGGTTTGGCCTTTGCAGATAAGGTCTTGTAAGTGTGCCCCTGCAAAAAGCTCCTGCCTAAGCCAAGATACACACCTTTGCTATGTCCTTCTGCTTTGTGAAGTAGAGGAGCACATCGAGGTATGTGTACAGCAGGATCTGGCAGAGATCCAGGTCCTTGATTCTCCCCAAGAGAATGTCAAACACGGGAACCATGACCTCCCCAAATGTCCGCACCTCCTCATCAATCGTTAAGGCTTCTATGACATCCTCAAGGAACTCGGTCATGTCTTCAAACTCTGGCAGGAGATACAAGGCTGTTACTCACAGTGCTCCAACAGCCAAACTGACCCAAACACAACCCCCTCTTTTGGCAGCAAGGGGAACCAAAGCTTCACCCAACTGCACAATGCTCCAGGGCAGCCTTGTAGAGCTGAGGCAGTGGCACAACCAGGCCACACTTACGTGCCCCTCTCAGTGTCTCCAGCATCAGGTCCACCAGCTGCTCATACACGTTCTGGTTGACGTAGATCTCCGGGGTGAGAAGGACAGTACGAGTGTTCGACACTGTCAGGTTGCGGCAGCGCACGGCGAAGGGCAGGAGATTCTCCGGGACCTTGGTTATCTGAGCAAGGAGAACAGGGCAGTGTTGGGGCCCTGGTCATTACAACTTTAGCTCGGTCACTCCAGAGCTGAGTGACAGAGCTGCCTTCCTCCTCGGCAGCCTGTGCCCACCTCTTCCCGTGCCCTGCGGAAGCAGGCATAGAGGTAGCGCAGGATCTGCCTCTCCCCAGCGTCACGCTCAGCCGAGAGGTTCTGGGTGCCGGCAGAGGTCATGTGGATCAAGTGGCTCCCGGGCTCCGGCAGCAGCAGGCGGGTGAACAGGGCCTGGGCACCGGCAGAGATGGAGTACAGTGACACAGCCTCAGCACAGAGCTGATCCCTCCAGAGGAGGAAGCTCCACACCACACAGGCTAATTGATTCCTGCTGGGAAGAGCCCTCTCTATCCCTTATTAATTAAGAGTGCTGGAGTGAGAATCCTCAGCTGCTTCTGGCTTAAGCAAATCCTCCAGTTCATCATGGAATAAGAGTACCCCCAACAGAAACTACTTCCACTGAAATCCTCAGCCAGGGACAGGAACAACTGATACATCTGCAAATAAAGATGAGTGCGTGCGTGGACACTGTTGACTGAGTTTTCTGGTTTTTCTTCCTTTTCCTACCCACACAGACCTGCAGGGCAGCAAACTCCTGCAGCCTCCAGGAGGAAGGGCTGGATTCCCCAAATTCTGCACTTTTCTCAGTCTCATATCCCAAAAATCTCATAGTCTTTTCCAGCAAAATGAGTGGCAGCTTAGTGCCAGGTTTTAGAGAAGGATTTGGGATACATCATATGTACGTTTAGAGGAAACGAACTGCAGCCGGCGGCCAAAGTCTGCAGATGACCCCAGGCAGGTGTCCCTACCTGCTCCACATTGTTCATGTCCAGCCAGTCCTGGTCATCCAGGTCTGCGGCCATTTCCTCCAGGTAGACACAGCGTGCCGGGATCCCATTCCCACTCTTCATGCTGGGGTCACCTGGGAAGGGCAGAGGGACCTGTTCCAACCGCATGGATGGCGACAGCCCATCCCCTCGGACAGCCCCAGCTGCTGCACCTGGCACTGTCCCCTCCCATGTCAGACAAACCCAACACGCAGAGCTGCCCCAGCCCGTACCACACCCCCCACCAAACAGGGAGTTCCTGGGCTCACTGTTGTCCAAGGTGATGAGGAAGATCCTCTGGATCATGTGGTTGATATTGAGCTGCTCGCAGAGCTCTCGCTGCGAGCGGAATGAGCGGCTGATCTCGGCCACCGAATAATCGCAGTCGTCCAGGCTCTCGGAGACGCTGTTGTCGGAGTCATCCTGGCTGATGGACGTCTCCTCGCCTGCATAACAGAGCCTTCAGCGTCTCGGAGCGCAGCCCCTGCCCGAGCAGACCGCCTGGCCCCATCCCCAAGGGCCAGCCCCGGCCCCAGGGCCAGCCTCGACCTTCCCACCTGTCAGTTGCCGCAGCTGCTGCTGTTTCTGGATGGCGGCGAAGTGCTTGGCGGCAGCGACGGAGCCGAAGAGGGCGGCGAAGGGGTTGCTGGAGATGCTGTTGTTGTTCTCCTGGTCGGTCATTTCCCCTCAGGGCCGCGCCATACGGGTGAGCAGGGGCAAGGCTGCGGGGAAGGCCGCAGTCAGGGCCTGGGCCCGCTCCCCCGGGCGCCACGGGCTCGTCCCGCTCGGTGCGGGGGCTCCGGTGCCAACCCGCTCCCGCTCCGCTCCCGCTACTCCCACCTCGGCCACCGCCGGAGAGCTCCGCGCGTCACCGCGTCGCTCAGCGATTTGCGTCACCGCGAGGCGCCGGAAGCGGCGGGAGGGACTTAGGGAGCGAGGGTGGGAGAGGCGGCAGCGACTCCTGGCGACCGGGAGGGAGAACGACACCTGCGGCCCCGCGGGGACAGCGACAGGGACGGGGAATTGGACCGGGAATGGGAATGGGACAGGGAACGGAACAGGGACAGAGACAGGGAATGAGGCAGGCATCGGGTCAGGGAATGGGAATGGGACAGGGACAGAGACAGAGAATGGAACAGGGACAGGGTCAGGAACAGAGACAGGGACAGAGACAGGGAACGGAACAGGGACAGGGAATGGGGCAGGGACAGGGAATGGGACAGGGACACGAATGCGGCCCGGCTCAGTGAGACCCGAGCGTGTCCCGTGCTATGAAACGCGACTGTCTGTGCGATAACCGAGTTTGTGTTTGTTTTCCGCCCGGTGGCCTGTATTTGAATATTAACGATATGTTAATCAACTGCTTAATAGGCAAATCACGATTTTATATGAAATCAATGCGTATATTGACCCTAATAACTTTGCACCTACAAACACTCATTTGCAGCTTTTTTTTTTTTTTTTTTTTTCTTGCGTGGGGAGTTTTATGTTTGTAGGGGATTTGGGCTGGGGCTGCAGGGGGTTGTGGTGTAGGGACACTGCTGTATATGTTTCTATTACACTCCTCCATCCATCCCTTCTGTGCTGGGCTGACCTCGGCCCCAGGGCCTCCCCAGCTTCTCCACCCCTCCCTTCTCATCTTTCTGGGTAGGACAGATTTCAGGTGAGGTCAGAAAATATCCTGCCCAAAACTTTATGGGGAGATACAAAGGTAGGTTGATAGAGGAAAAGCAAAGGTAGACAAAGGGGGTTAAATCGAAAGGGTTATTCTGCAACACATGAAACACCTCCTGAGGCAAAGCTGACTGGAGACTACAGGGAGGGTTCCCTGCCCAGCCAAACCCTGCATACACAGATTTTACTGAGTTTTTTTTCAATCCAGGCCCCAGGCTCAGGCCCAGGCACTGCCCTGCCAAGAGCTGCAGGTGACTCCCATGATGTCATTCCTGTAACGATATTAATTTAATTCTACTACACCATATCCAGCCTCTCACAGCACCAGCCCGGTGCAACATTTCCATGCTGGAGGAGTCCTGGGGCACCATGTCAGACGGGGCAGTTTGGACTGTTGGGGGGCGTGGGGCTATGTCAGGGTCCATGAGGTGGTGCAGGACTGAGCCCATGGCACTGGAGGCTCTGGGTTCTGCCTCTTCTTTGTTTGCTCAGCCCCCCCGAGGTTCCCCCAGAACAAACGCAGCTGATGGTTGGATGGTTTTGTCATGAACAGCCTTTACTTGCCCACTAGTTATGCCTCGCATTCCTTGTTACAAAAGAACAACTTAACAAAAATAATGCCCTGTGGCTGCAGCGGGGGACCACGGGGGGCGAGGGCACAAGGGCTCAGCCCCACAGAGGAGGGTGGGCTATGGCACTGTTGGCATGGGACACCCACGGGCACCAGCCAGGCTGGGGCACGTCCCACGGTCCCCGGAGGAGCTCAGGCAGGGAATTCCCGCTCCGGCTCATCCCGGATGCCCTCAGCCACGCTGCCGGGGACGCTCATCCCCACCAGCGCGTCCTCGCCGGGTCCCGGCAGCGCGCAGGGCTGCAGGAGGTGATCCCAGTAGAGGCTGAGCGTGGAGTGTTCCTGCTGCTCCAGCTCCTTCAGCTCGTGCAGCTCCTTGGCGCTGGCCGCCGGCGTCTGCACCTCAAAGGTCATCTCAAAGCGGCTGTAGTCCACCTGGAAGGCGCCTTTCTCCAGGGACATGCAGGGCTCGAAGCGATATCCCCAGAGGATCTCGTCCTCCGTGTAGGAGGTGCGGGCTTGGCACGTCATTCCTGCGGCAAGACAATGGCTGAGCTGTCCCAGGGTGCCACAACGAGCCCCCTGCTGCCTAACGAGAGGCTTCCAGCCCTGCATCACCCATGGCCGGCTGGTGACAGTTTTGATCCCGAGCATCTGTTGCCCAGATGTCACTCCTGGGCCCAGGTTTTCCCAGCATCTCCAGGACCCTAGGGGAGCCACCCCTCTCCACCCTGACCCCTCCCAGACCACTTGCCTGTGGCTTCCACGATGCCCTCGAGGATGATGATGATTTCAAACTGCTCCCGGCGCAGTGACTCCGCTGACATGTCCCAGAAAGGGCTGTGACGGTTGATGACGTGGCAGATGATCTGGGGCTCCACCAGGAATAGACGGTCCTCCCCTGTGTCATAGCCCAGGTTCAACTCTGACTGCTCCAGGGGGATGAACTCCCCCTCGGCTGTCTGACGGGACTTGATCAGCTTTGCCCGGATCTTGGCATCCACCATGTGGCTTTCCCGCAGGTCCCCCACACGAAACATCAGGCAGAGCTTCTCGTCCCGGCGGGAGATGACACAGTTCTTGCTGAAGATGAGGGTCTGGGCACGCTTCTTGGGCCGGGAGATCTTAACGAACATGCAGCCCACCATCATGGCATCGATCATGGAGCCGACGATGGACTGTGCCATCAACAGGATGACGCCCTCGGCACAGTTGGCTGTCACCATCCGAGTGCCGTAGCCAATGGTCCGCTGGCTTTCCACTGAGAGGAGCAAGGCAGAGACAAAGCCATCCACGTTCTCGATGCACGCCTGCCACTCGGGATCGCCCTGGTGCCCAATGTCACCCCGCACCCAGGCATCAAAAAAGTAGATGAAGCCAAAGACCACCCAGGTGATGATGTAGCACATCATGAAGACGAAGAGGAACCAGCGGTACTTGAGGTCTACAATGGTGGTGAAGATGTCTGAGAGGAACCTCTTCTTGTCCTGGATGTTGCCCAGATTCACCTGGCACTTGCCCACTTTTGTCACATAGCGCTGCCGCTGCCGCTTGCCGGCCTGGACCATCGGGCTGTCCTCCTCCAGCAGCTTGCAGCGCCGGCTCTGCAGCCCCTCCGGGGTGGGGTTGGTGGAGCTGCGGGCGGAGGTCTTGCCGCGTGACGAGTTGGGGATGTTGGCCACGCTCAGGGCGTGCAGGGGATACAAGCGGGGCACACCCTCTTGTGGGGCAGGCGGTGGGCACCAGGACGGCCGGCCACGGTGCTGCTGGGTGCTCAGGCTCCCGCGGCTCGGCGGCCCTGACGGCTCACCGGTGACAAAGCCGCTGTGACGGGGTGCAGATGGGCAGTTTGGCATCGGGGCGCCTCTCTTGGCAGCAGTGGCGGCGGCTTGCTGCCCGCCGTCCTTCAGCAGAACCCCGGGGACGGCCGGGAGATCGGGCTGCGGGGGGAGGAAAGGAGCCCGTCGGTGAGAAATCGCCTCCGACAACAACCGCGAGCACCCGGCGGCATCACGTACCGAGGATGCCCCAGAGCCTCGGCGCGAGCCATACCTTCTGGGGGAAGGTGCCGTACCGGCTGGTGTCGGTGGGCGGCCGGGGCAGGTAGGCCAGCATGTGCTTGGCCGTGGGGGTCTGCGCCGGGGGGATGGAGTTGCTGCGGCCGCGGGGCTCCTCGGGGGCCAGCCAGCCGCCCGCGCCGCCGCTGTTGCGGGCGTACGGGAGCACCATGGCGGCGCCGGGGCGGGGGCTCAGCCCCGGGCTGCCAGCGAGGTCCTGCCATGGGGGAGACAAAGCGGGGAGTTATTTAGGACAGGAAAAGCAGCTCCGGCCCCTCTCCGCACTCCCAGGGGTCAGGGTCTGGGGGAGCCCCCCTTGCTCAGCAACGCAGGTCCCAGCTCCGGAGCTGTGCCGGGGTGCCCGCAGGCTGGCTCCAGATGGCTAAGCCCATTAGGGGCCATAATTTTATCGCAAGGCCCGGCAAGGAGGCATTCATCTCCTCTGGGAAGCAGCCCCGGCAAGCTCTGGGTGAGCGCCTAAGGCACTGTTCCACAGTTGTTCCGGGCCGTGGAGGTAGGTGCCGGTTCTCTAAGAAACTCCGAGCAGAAATGGGTGGCCCCTAGGTGCGGAGGAAGGACAGCCTGTGAGAGAGATGCAGAGCCCATAGCCGGGCTCCTCGGGACAGGCTGAGTCCAGCCGGTGCCCATGGGGAGACGTGATGGGAGGTCATGGTCCTGGAAACGCAACCCAGAGAGCAGCGACCTGCGGGGATTGGGGTGGGGATGGGGTGGGAGTGTTGGCGCTCTGCCTCCGCTGAGCATCCCCTGGCACTGCACAGTAGCGGGGCCAGCGGGCCTCAGTGCGACGATGGAGGATGTCACTCTCCGGACCAACCTCCCGGCTCCCCAGACCCCTGGGCGCAAGAGACACCCACCTCATGTCCAGGCAGAGCGGCTGCCAGCCCGGCAGACGTCGTTCTCGGCTTGTGGCTCCCGCTGCGGCCCGGCCACTGCCGGGCATCTTCCCACCGGTTGTGGACGGGAATCCTCTGCCGGGCTGTGCCACCGTGGCCGGTGGGAGGAAAAGAAGGACTGGGAGCTCGGCGGCGGCCGCCAATCCTCCTCCAGCGGCAGAAGGTCACCCGTTAATCTGTCTCAATGACAGGCACAATTACCTTGAGACGATTTAATCGGAAGGAGCAGGTGCCCCAATGCCTGGGGGAAGCAGCAGGAGGGGTTTCCCAGCGGATTTCCCTGCTCTTGCCCTTGGGATGATGCTCCCTGTCTGCTCTTAGGAACGGGATGGTCAGCAAGGGCTGGAAAACATCCCCTTTCTCTTACCTGTTCTGTGCTTCCACGTCGAACTTGTTCTGTGCTCCCTCGCCCCCTCCTTGTGGGAGCCCCCTGCAAAGATCCTCCTGACACTCACCAGGGCTGGACCCCTGGACCAGCAGGACTCAGTAATTTCCAGTCTGGCTCCCGATACAGATAAGAAAGACGGCGGATGAAGGAGAGATTAGTCGCTAATCTCTCAGGGAAGATGAATCTGCAAGCTGGACCCCGCGGAGGGAACGCACGTGGGGGAGGATGGGAGCCCAGTGCCAGCACAAACTTGGGATTTTCCTGTCGCTTCTTTTCATCCCTTTCATAGAATCCCAGAATGGTTTGGACTGGAAAAGGCCTTAAAGATCAGTCCAGCTCCAGCCCCCTGCCACAGGGACACCTTCCACCGGACCAAGCTGATGTACGTGGGTTTTCCCCAGCCTTGTGTTTGCATCAGGATGTCTCCTATCAGGACAACAGTTTCCTCACACATAAGCACCATGAGTCGCGTCTGCTGGTGAAGTGCTGGGTGCAGGACAGGGTGATCAGTGCCCACCTGCGAGAAGCAGGACCCATCTCCAACCTGCTTCCTTCCTCGGACATGCCCATTCTCAACGCAGCTGTCAAAGGCTCCTTTGCATATTTAATAAATGACCGAAGGCCTCCAACCGAGGCGGTGACTCCTGAGAAAAGCCTGATGCCAGCTCTCTGCTGCCTGCATCTTGTGTTGGGGTGCCAGCTGTGTCCCACGGAGGCTGGAGCTGCTGCTGCCGAGAATCGCTTTCCCTGCCAAAGCTCTCGCTCCGGAGCGGCCAAGGCTCGGAGGATTTGCATGCTTTGGCTTAACCCTCCTGGGCACGGCGAGGCAGCGGCGGGACCCAGCTCGGAGTTACCGCGGGGATGCACCCGGCTTTTCCTGCTGAGCCGGGCTCTCCTTTTAGCATGGAAAAACCAACAACAGCTGAAAAACGACCGTGGCCACACCCCGGCGTTGGAGGAACAGGCTTGAATTCGCCCCCCCGGGCGGCAGACGCTGCCGGCGGCCGGGCGGACGCTGCTCCACAAGCGTTAATGCCCGCGGCCGCCGCTCAGGGCGGCTGATCTGCGCCCAGAGGTTAGCGGGGCAGCATGGCCGGGGGCTGGGGGGCAAAGGCGCAGGCCGGGGGGATGCTGCTGGCTCTCCTGGGATGGATCAGCTCCTGCGTCACCACCTTCGTGCCACTCTGGAAGAACCTCAATTTGGACCTGAACGAGATGGAGGTCTGGAATATGGGGCTTTGGCAGGTCTGCATCACGCAGGAGGAGGGGGTGGTTGAATGCCAAGCCCACGGCTCCTTCCTGGCGCTGCCCCCCGAGCTGCGCATCTCTCGCCTCCTGATGTGCCTCTCCAACGGGCTGGGGCTGCTGGGCTGTCTCCTCGCTGCCCTGGGGCTGGAGGGCTGGAGAACCTGCGACGACAAACCTGGGCGAAAGCGGCGGCTCCTGCTGGGCGGGGGAGTTACGCTTGGCATGGCAGGGATCACCACCCTGGTGCCAGTCTCCTGGGTCGCCTACAACACCGTCCTCGACTTCTGGGACGAGACTGTCCCCGACATCGTGCCCAGGTGGGAGTTTGGGGAGGCCACCTTCCTGGGGTGGTTTGCCGGAGCCTTCCTCGCCGCTGGTGGGCTGCTCCTCGCCTGCAGCACCCGCACCACGAAGACCGCAACACCACTGGCCCCTGCCTGCTACCAGGCCCCTCCCGCACCGGCTCTGGCTGGGGGCCACCACCTGCACCCCAGAAATGCAGACTTGGTCATCTAAGGCCTCAGGGTGCTGTGCCCTGTGCACCTCGTGGCTCTTCCCCTGGCAGGGAGAGCTCCTGCTTGTTTCACAGGATGATTTGCTAATTGCTACGGCAGCTCTGCAGGTTTCTCTCCTTCCTCTGTGTGTCTGCTTCACTTTTTCTCTGTTAAGGAGCAGCAGATTTCCCCGCAGCACTCACTATGCAAGCATGGGAAGACAACAAGCAGAAGGCAGCACTTTGTACTGCTAGTGACACCCTGGTACCATCACTGATAGGTGACACGGCATCCCTGGCGAGTCCCTCGTAGCCAAGTCTGTCGTGGCTAATGCTGTGCCCCAGTGCAGCAGCTCTTTCCTTGCACGTCTGTGTCTCTCTGATGTTATTTGCAATAAATTATCATGTCCATTGGCAGTGTGTCTGTGCTCTGAACATGTAGCTGTGTCTTGCAGAAGAGGGATGCAGGGTGGGAGCTGCAAGAAGCAGCACTGCTGCTGCAGCTATGGTTTGGTCTGTCTAGAAAAGATTGAAGAGAGAGAAAAATGGAAAACGAGGGGGAAGGAGGAAAATGAGAGACAGGGCAGCACCAAGTTCTATTGCTGCTGCAAAGGTGGGATGGCAGTGACTGCGTGCCCTGCAGGAGCCTCATCTTCTCATGGCTAAGATGATAAAGCTGATCAGTGCCGCAGATCTTTGTGTCAAAAGCTCCTCGACTGCATCATTTACCTGTGCACAAGAGGCAAGAAAGGGTTTTTGCTGGTCTCAACGGTTCCTTCCACATTTTCCTGATTCAGCTGTAAAAATAAAGGCTGATTACACACCTCTGTGAGCAAGAGCATGGACCATCAGGCTGGATTAGCACCCGGAGTCCTGACAGGGGCCTGCCTGCTGCTACGGCACTGGTTGAAAACGGAGTTCACTGCTGGTTTAATCCCTGCAGGCTCAAAGCCGCGCGCGTGACCCATCTCAAGGAAGGCCCGGCCGACAGCGGCATTCCTGCGGGAAGCAAAGTCCGCTCCCTCTAAGTCCCATTTTGAAACCTGCACTTTGCTCAGCTGGGACGAGAGGAAGGAGAGGGTGGGCAAGGAAAGGGAACAGTGATGATCCGTGGGAGTTCAGATGCTGCAGGACTGGGGACAGAGTTGGTGGTGCTGAGAGTGTGGTGGGAGAGGCAGGTGCTCAGTCCTTCTGAAAAAGAATCAAACGAGGTAGAACTGAGGAGGCAGTGTTCCTGGCCATCACCTTCCAAGGAGCTGTACACCCTGCCAGCTGCCCTTGGAGGGCTGACCACCCCAGGGAACACAGAGAGGCTGTTTTGGCTGTAACTCCCTTGGGAAATGGGAGGACAGGACAGTGAGCAAAGGCTTCCAGCCTGGGAACACTTCTCCTGTCCAGCCCAGTCCAAATACCATGACGTCCTTGGCATCATTCTGTGCTCCTGACACTCTTGGTTGGTTCCTTAAAGCAGGCTTAGGACATGGCCTGGGCATTTTAGCTTCTGGCAGCAACACAAAGAACAGGGCAAAGGTACTGTTTCATGAGTCAGAACAAATGGATTCTCTTCCCAAACCACATCCTACTGCTTGTAAGTGCACAAAAGCTGCCTGGTGATGCCAAGTGTTGGCTGGGACGAGGTAGCTTGCCTCCAGGTGGATGATGGCCTCGGGGCTTTGTTCAAGAGCTCAATGTTTCCAGTCATGGAAGGTCAAGCACCCTGAACAGACAGTTGAAGGCCTCATCCCACTGCTCTGTCACAACGATGGGGGAAACAAGCTGAAACAGCAGCACTCTGGCACTGCAGCACCCTGGTCCCTGAGGAGGGACAGGTCACTGTAGGGACACTGGCAGCCAGAGTGCCTGTGGATAATGGTAGCTCTGCTTCATCATAAAGTCACTCTGAGAGTGCAAGATCCTCTCACAGGCGCAGTTTATTCCTAAATACTGGGGAAACATCCCCTGACAGGATGGTGGAACCATCCTAAGGCAGCTCTCCTAGTGACAACACATTTTGTACAGGGTGAACCTTCAGGCAGAACCCTAGAGTGAAAAAAAAGACGTGGAAGGAGCTTTTTCATTCTAATATAGAACTGTGGGAAGATAGGTTGAAAGGATAGTGCAGGATAGTCCAGAAGGCAATCTCTCCCGATGAATTACAGCAGCTGTACTGCCTACTGAGGAGTGCAAAAATCTGTGCCTGCCCAATGAATTTGGGTGTTAAAAGGGGATAGCTGGAGACCGAGTCTGTTGCAGTTTGGGATGGAGTCTGCTCACCGTGCTAGGAGGAGGTAAGGGACACGTGGCTGTGCAGGGGACAGATAAGGTAAGAAGATGCTGTGTGAGGGACAGACAGGGTAAGGTGGCCAGGAAAGGGACAGGTTGGGGTTTCTCCAGTCATGCAGAGAGGAGACAAGGAGTCAGAGCTGTGTGGAGCTGCCTGTAAGAAAAGGAGTCAGAGTTGTCAGAGAAATACACACTGAAAGAAGGCATGAAAAGTTTCTAATAAAGGACTGGTGGTGATGCCAGTCCAGTCCACCTCAACATAATTGTAACATAGAACAAATGCTTTTATTGCACTGTTAGAAAACTCTGCATAGTTCCAAAAAACAGGATCCCCCTCCAGTGACTCAGAACTTTTGGCTTACAACTGCTGCAGCTCAAATGCAAGCACAGGGTGACCGCAAAAGGAAATGCCAACAGGGCACTTCGTTAACAAAATCAACACAATGGGCTGACCCGAGCCCTCACAGTTATCACTGACACTAATCCAGCCCTGACCCACCACCCAAGGGGAGAAGGAAGTTTGCCTTTGGGGTGATGTGATTGCCTTGAGCCAGTCAGCTCCTGCCAGGCACAAAGCCACAGCCCCGTCCTGGCTCCTCACTGCCAGGATTTGCCTGTGCCTCTCCAGGGAACGCTCCTGTGTGGTTTCTGGTGCTAGCTAGAATACAAAAGGCAAAAGCCTGCTTGACTTGACCACAAGACACAGCTGCGTGCATGACTGCCCACGCAGCAGAGCGTGAGCCAGTGCTCCTTGCTGCCTCCTCCTCACTCAGCCCAGGCTCCTGTGAGCAGGAATCTCTCTGGATTAGAACATGCAACCCCTGGCAGTGACCATTCAGGGAGCTGGGGAAGTGCCCGACAGCCCAGGCACAGTGTGCAGTGCTGAGCAGAGCTGGGCTCCTGTGCCATTATGGGCCCAGGGCTGCATCTAGAAGGCTGCCAGGACAGAAGAGCCTTTGGAGCCCGGTTGGGCCCCGTGGTGCCACCAGGGCCTGCGCCTGCACTGTAACAGCGGCCCAGGTCCTTTGTAGTACTGCCTTGTGTTCTGCCTCAGAAGTGCAATACTGCTTTTCATCCGCTCCTATTTACAAAGAACACAGCTTGGAATCCAGTGGAGCCCCCTCTCCTGCCCCGCTCCAGCGCTCCCCGGCAGGCCCGGGCAGGGCGAGCGGCTGCGGCTACTTCACGGTCACGGCTGAGGCCCCGTGAATGGACTCCATCACGGCCGCAAAGCGGCTGCACAGGTCGTAAGGGGAGTTGGGTCGGATCTTCGGGGGCTCCTTCAGCACAATGACCTCAGTGGAGCCGTCGAGGAGCCGGGGTAGCAGCTCACCCAGCTTCATCTGCAGCTTTGCTGTCAAGGGGGAAAGGAGGAAACAGTGAGTGGCAGCAAATGGCAGAGGGTTCCAGGCCCTGAGTTAAGGAGCTGTGATGCCTTTTGCAGACTCCTCTCCCTGTGCCGAGAGTGCCCAGCCCATTGCCAGGGATGAGCAGTGGCTGCTTACGGAGCTGGGTCGTGCCTGCCTACCCAGGGCTGTGAGGGAAGCTCCACTGCCACCTGGCTGCCTGGGGACAGGGCCATGTCCCACTGAGACACGGCGCTTTCCCAGGAAAGGCTTCTGGCCTGTCAGGTGAACAATAACTGCATGCTTCAGGGTGACACTCAAATATTGACTGTGCAATTGTCTTAGGCTGCAATACAGGATGTGCCCAAAGTACGTATTCTATCACCATCTGTTGAAACCAGCTGGGGCAGTGATCTTTATCTTTTCCACAACCCCTCCTTCCTCCGGGAAGATATCTTCTGTTAAAGGGCCATTGACTGATAAAATTCCATCATCCCACTGGGAGATGTTCCACCCAGGGGGAGGAGCCAAGCATTTCCTACCTAGATAAAATCTGAGATTTGCAACATCAGAGCAGCCTTTTTCCACTGGATTCCAGAAAAAAAACCAGGCCCTTCTATATCATCCCTGGAGCTTTGGAGGAAAACTGCACCTTCTACAGGAGCACTGCTCCACCAGAACCACATCTGTCACTGCAGGAGGATGCAGCCACCATTTAATGGGACTGCTACCAACACCAGGAATTTGATTTTAGATGGTCCTTTCTTTCCCAGTTCAGATTCAGATACTACCCTGCCCATGAACAGCAGTCATTTCCTACCGTCCATGTCTTCTCGTCCCAAATAGGAGCACCAGCGGTTTCTCATGACCTCGATGGCATCCAGGTCCTCTCTGGAGATCTCAAAGTTGTTCATGAGATGCATGCAGGGGATGATCAGCTCATTCAGGATGCTCACACCCTCTGAGACATGAGCTTCTTCACAGCTGACAAAAAGAGAAGCTGCCACCTCGTTCAGCTTCTGGGGGTGGAAAGAGAATTGGGGAAATACTTGTAAAGAGCAAGCATGGACCATGGATAAACACCCAGGAAAGGCCAAGCTTGGGCAGCCATGCAGAGAATAACGACTAACAGCACCAGGTTCTGGTGGAACAGCCACTTCACTTTCAATAATGGGAAGGACACCACAGAAAACAAATCTGACAATATGTGTGTTCATACACATACATGCAATTTGCTGTATCTGTACACAGAGAGCACAGAGCTCATTTACAATTCTGGTTTGAAGATGGTAAGGTCCAGATCTGCCTTTGCCTAGATTCCCTGAAACCTATGTGGCATGTTCTTTACTTGAATTATGATTATTATTAGCTTTCCATATTGCTGCTGGTACTCAGCAAGGGGCAGAATCATCTCAACAGAAGTAACAGAAACAGTTACACTGGCCTTGGCTACCATGGTGCCCTGGCTGCTCCCTCCCCTCCTCTCCAAAAGTGAGTGTTGAGCTCCTCAATACAAACCAGGAGACACTTCCTTCTGTACAGGGCGATCAGCGACTCGCTCACGCCTCGGTTGGTTCCCTTCAGCAGCAGTTTGGTGTTGCTTTGGTAGGCATAGACCAGGTAGGTGAGTGACTCTTGGTACCTGGAAGAAGAGGGTCAGATCTGCAGGCCTTGGGCTCTGCCAGGGCCATGACTACAGCCATTCCCTTGGCTCAGCTCAGGAAACCTTTCCTGCTGGCCTGGCTGGAACTGCATCAGGTCTGATGAGAAAAGCTGCATTTCCTTGCCAAAGCACAAAAAACATGTCAAGCCATTCCTGCTCCTTTTTGCCCAGAATGCCAAACAAGTGCCTGGGCAGAGCCCTTTAAAACCAAGTTCATGTGTGTCTTGGCTTGTGAAGCAGGATGTAACCAAAAGTACGTATTCTATCACCATCTGTTGAAACCAGCTGGGGCAGTGATCTTTATCTTTTCCACAACCCATCCTTCCTCCGGGAAGATATCTTCTGTTAAAGGGCCATTGACTGATAAAATTCCATCATCCCACTGGGAGATGTTCCACCCAGGGGGAGGAGCCAAGCATTTCCTACCTAGATAAAATCTGAGATTTGCAACATCAGAGCAGCCTTTTTCCACTGGATTCTAGAAAAAAAACCAGGCCCTTCTACATCATCCCTGGAGCTTTGGAGGAAAACTGCACCTTCTACAGGAGCACTGCTCCACTAGAACCACATCTGTCACTGCAGGAGGATGCAGCCACCATTTAATGGGACTGCTACCAACACCCTGACTGACTGATGGGGTGTCAGGTTGTATTCTGACTCTGTCAGTGTTTTTCTTGTTTTGTATTACTGTATTTTTATTATAATTTTCCTAGTAAAAGAACTGTTATTCCTATTCCCATTTTTTTTGCCTGACAGCCCCTTAATTTCAAAATTATAATAATCTGGAGGGAGTGGGTTTACATGTTCCATTTCAAGAGAGGCTCCTGCCTTTCTTTGCAGACATCTGTCTTTCAAACTAGGACAATGTGCAATGTGTTTGTTCTGTGTTCTTTTTCTGTACTGCTCCAGGAATTACACTATGAGAAGACACCCCAAGAAGGGCAGAAGGTTGTGTTTTTTGAGTCCCTCACACATTTGAAGCTTCAGGTGAGAAAGCAGAACTGCTGACAGGGATTATGCCAATTTGAGGGAATTCTAAGCTGCTCTTGTCATGTCCTCGTGTCTATTTGCCCACCTGAATTTGGTGGCTCGTCACAGCGAACCACCTCAGAATTCAGTTCTGTTTCCATCCAGGAATAATTTCTGAAAGCCTGCACCATTTATGGAAAATACAGGTCCTAGAATGGTAAGGAGGACACCAAGGCCCTTTGAGTCTAGAGGACTCCGAAGTGTGTGTTTACACAAAGCATAACATCCATTTCAAGGCAGTGTCATTTTAATACAGGAGTCCAAGGTGAAAAATCCCAAAGTGATGGCAATCATTCCTGCAAACACATCTCTGGAAAACAGAATATAAACCTCTACTTCCCAAATGGAAACCTCAGGGGAAACTCTCAGGAAGCCAGCAGCAGCTCAGCCTCATACTTTTAAACTGTTAGCCAAGCTCGATTGTGGATTCAAGAAGAGCTATTAGCAGGTCAAAAAAGTGCCCACTGGCCTCAAACACGGGCCATTGTGATTCAGCAAGAAAAATTTTGTCAAAGTGGCCTTTACTTTTAGCTGCAGCTTATCTTGTCCAAACACAATTAGAGGAACTTACTTTCTATTCTGGTAGAGTTCCAACCCCGTCAGCAAGTAAATGGACACCTTGCGAAAAAGGCTGTAGTCTTCGTGCCATCTCTGGGAGGAGGAGGAGGGAAGCAGAGCATCAGCCTCACCTGGAACACTCACATGCATAGTTTGGGGTCCCCAGTTCTACCCCTTGAAGTGTTTAAATGTCTCTCATAAGTGACACATAGTTCATAAATGAATTTATCCAACTGCAGACACCTCTCCAAGCTCAGATTTCCACTGTATTCCTTGTCCTCAGCACCCTCCTGCAGACACCAGCTGCCTACAGGCATGCAGTGACCACTGTGCTGGCCACATAGCTCCATGCCACGCTCCCCTTTTCCCAGTCTGGACAGTGGGAAGGATCAGAAGCAGCTCTCTGGTCCCTTACCTTGTATTCCTCCATGTCAACATCCTCAGGACCAATTTCGCTCAGCTTTGCCCGAGCCACCTTCATGATGCTGATGGACCTGCTCCATGTCGGCAGAAAGGAGAAAAATCACAACACTGGCCCCGGCCACATCCAGGTGGGAAAAGCCTACCCTGGAATCCTGGGCACTCACCGTTCATCATAGCTGAGGTTTTTGTCTGCAAACTGCTCGAGGAGGGTCCGTTCCACCACCTGCTGCGGAGCGTTGTTCTGCAGGAAGTAGATGAGCACGTGCTGCAAGCGGGCATCGTTCTGGGGCGTTGGGGTCTCCTTGGAAAGCAGGTACAGCCGGGAGTACTCCTCACGGAATGCCTGCCAATGGAACACAGGCACTGACACACCCAGCTGCCTGCCCGAGGGAATGCCACAGCAGCCAACAGGAGCTCAAACCGCTCCTGTTCCAAGGGACTCCTCTGCTCGTGATACCCTAGTGGTGAATGGAAGCCCACCAACACCTCAGCTCCAAACCAATGGCCCCCGCAGCCAGGCCAACCTCATGTGTGAAGTGTGAGCTTCCAAAAGTGCCAGGGTGTGTAAATGCCTCTGAGAGAGGAGGTACAGCTGCCTTAGATGGATTTGGCAACTCTGACAAGTGCTCAGGCTGCCAAAATCAACTGGGACATATTTGTACTTGCAGGATGTGCAAGAGTATCTTGTGATTTATATTCCCATAGATTACCAGCATGGATGATTCTTTCCATGTGGTATTTTCAGTTAAATCTACCTGCCTGTAAAATCTAGCACCATCTTCAGCATTCAGCAGTGGTCATGCTTTCACACCCCTGTTCACACACACATTTCTTGAGGACATCTTTGACAAAAGAGCAAATATGTTCAGGACCAAAAACCCAAATTTTACAGTACTAAAAGAATAAACAGAAAAAAAAAGTTGCTGTTTGTCTTGGGAGGAGGGTATTCTCTTACAGGCTTTAAAAATTGTTTTGAACCCACGGACATGACTGTAAGAGAGCAGGAACTGAAATGCAGGGCAAAGGCCATTAACTAGAAGAAAAACTGCACAAATCGTTCCCTCTACATTCCTGATCTGTCAATATGGCACATACTCTCTATTCTGGGAAAACAGATATCCATACTATTTGATTTAGCAAACAAATCAATACCTTAACAAGCCCTGCTTCAGACCCATCACGATCAAAGGTCTGGCGGGCTTTTGCAATAGCCAGGATGACACCTTGCATGGCTGGACTCAGCATCACCTACCATGAAAGCAGGAGAACAGACACAAACAGGAACAAGGAAAACAGTAACAGACAGGGAAAGAAGAGACAGCATAGTGAAGAATGGAAGAGACTTTCAAAAGGCAAGGTTTAAAGGAAATTGTATGAGTACAGGTGTGATAACTGGGGCTGTGAGTTACTTGCATGCTACTGACTCTATCCATCACATGCACTTTACATGCAGGGTTTTTTTCAGGCATTTAAAGATCTCAAGGCTGGTCTCTCCAAACTCTTGAATTTTTAAATTCAACAAGTGAGAAGGTAAAGCACACTGGCCATGTCCCCACCATGTCCCACTCAATCTTCCTAAGACTTGTAAAATGAATGCAGAACCTGTGGTGCAGCAGCTCCTTGAGCCAACACCACACAAGAACATCTCAAACCTACTCAAGGAGTGACAGCCCCAGCGTTTGTGTGAAATCCAACTTGTGAAGGTGAGAGAACTTCCAAAACGCTGCTTGAGCATGTATCAGAGCGATTAAAATCAGAACCCAAAACATCAGTGGGTAGAGTACGTAAATTATGTGATTGGGATTAAGGTCTTTGACTGGGGACGAAATAGTAAATGAAACCAGCAAAGAGACTTGTAAAGAAATTAACACAGGTAGGATCAATTTTGATAAAATTGTGCCAGAAAGAGGACTTATGACCAACATGCAGATCAACAAATCGAGTACTCTTATAAAGCTCCTTTTCTGATGACATTTAAAAATGAGGTTATGGAACAATGTGGTCCCCCTTCTCTTCCACAGTGGGAAACCTAACTTTGTACAGGGTGTTGTTGTTATGACAGACACTATCACACCCACCCTTAGGGCAGCTCAAAGCCAGCTAACTAGAGGCTAACGAGCAGCAGTAATTAACCTCTGCACTGGGATCTGTACCTCCTCATTATATCCATCTGCATCGGATCTAACAGGTATCTTCCCCACACTGGGGATTTCCACTTCAGAGACCTGTGAGCTAGTTTGGGCAGCAGCCTCTGCTTCCTGAGTGTCCTGGGGCTGCTCTGCCTGAACTGTGGGGGATGTTTCTTCTGGATGGGCCTTCAGTGGCTCTACCTCCTTGTGCTGTGGCCAAGAAGAAAAAGAAGAGAGTAAGAAAATCCAAAGCAAAATACAGGAAAGCCAAAGGCACCGAGCTAAATGTGGCACAGCTACAGAACTTCACAGAAATGGGAAAAGCAAAGGTCTATCAAGAAGAAAAATACAGAGACAAGAAGGGGTAGGCTCTTGGGCCAAGGCTCAGCTCCTACCTTGCACAGAGCTGCCTCGACACCGTTCTTCTCGTAGGCGTCAGCAGTGTTGGCAATGGCCTTGGCAGTCTGCTCCTTGGCAATCCTGGCATGCTCTGAGGACAGGGAGTGCACGCTCTGCTCACAAACTGATGATTGCTCTGTCAGGACAGACGTGTGGTACTAGTGAGCAAGAGCTGCAAGATTTTTTTCTCACTTGTTCTAAAATGTTTTGCAGAGGGTCCATGCAGTTTTACACAGCTCTGGGATGAAGGCACTTCACGTGTGCGTGCCCCTTTCCAGTGGGAATGGCACACAATGGTCATCAGGGACTGCCAAGCAGTGTTTCCCTCTCCAGAGAATAGCACTTGTCCACTCAATACTTATGAAAAAAAGAAAAAGCTGGAAATGAACTGATACTAGCCCACAATGATTAAGTGAATGGGAAACAGCATTTCTGGGGACAGGCTTGGAAGGGCTGCACGTGCAAAACCAGCAGAACAGCCTTTTGTACTGTCAGGTCAGAGCCTCCAGCAGCTGCCTTTGCTGCCTCATTCATGTCTGCTCCTGCATTCTGACACATTTGTGCAAGGCTTCAACACAGTGGTACTGGTGACCAGCTGGCTATTCCTGGTTCCAACATGGTTTGCAAATTCAGAGTGAGATTACCTGGTCCTGACTCAGAGGAGAGGTCCTGCAATTCAGAAGTAGGTGAAGGCTCCATCTGAGGAATCTTGCAAGATTGTTCCTCGTCCCAGTCCTCTGCCTCCTGCTCCAGGCGCCAGTTGTCCTCCTGGATGTAGTGTCTCAGTTCTGGTGACAAAGCTTCCACTTCCTTCTGGAACTGTCTGGCCTCTGGGGCCTCATCCTCATCTGAAGGAAATGCAAGACTGGCATAAGAGAACACATTCTGGCAGGGCACCACCCTTGGGGACTAAGCACACACAACATCATGGACAGCCATAAGGAAATTGGCTGAGGGATAAAAGGGGAAAGAAGCCAAATTTTCTATTGTCTCTGTAACTTAAGGTGATCCAGAAGCGAAAGTGCAAAAAATGAAAACAAATCTACACAGTTATCTAAAACAAACCCCGCTTTTGTTCTACTACTGGACAGCATTTACATAGAGCAATTCCAGAACCAGCACCTGCTGATGCAGGTCAGACATATCCTGATCCAAGGGCTCCAGCTGTACAGGGAACAGCACTGAGCTGCCAACAGCTGCAAAGTTCACAGCTCAGCCAGAGATGACACACCTGCATCACTGTACAGCAGGTAAAGGTAAGGGCTGCATGGGTTCTATAGCACAAGTATCATGCAGATATTTCTTAGTGCTTTTTAGATCTACTTCAGTATTCACTTTTAAAATAGCATAAAACCTAAGCATCATCAGCTTCAGACATCCTAAAATTTATCAAAAGCAAATGGCAACTTTCTACAGATAAGGGTGCAGATATTTTCTGCACCTTTTGCAAAATTCTTTAAAAAACAACAAAAAATTGCATTAAATAGGAGAAAAAAAAAACAAAACCACCCTATGGGCTCATTTCAGAACTGTCATAAGAAAACAAAGAGCAACCTCCAAATCCTCATCAGCCACATTTAGCAATGAACAGAATGTCAGCTCTCCATTGTTTCTTTCCATTTATGACATCAAAATGAGCCACGCGTGAAATTATTGGGTCCTTGTACAGCTGTTTGCCATGCCTAGAGCCACGTGCACAGCAATTTCTCCACAGAACTATTTATACACTGGCACTGCAAACACACTAAGTCTGAGCCACTCAGATACCAATACCTCTCAGAGAAAGGCTGCACAAAAAAGAGCCCGTTTAGATTCAGTGTAACAGAATCAAAGACCAAGCAAACGAGTCAGGAAGTGTGATAAAAATGGGAGAGATAAAATAGGAGGTTTTTCACATGCCTTGAGGAAACAAATGCTGCCATATAAACACTACAAAAGTCAAAATTAAGAACAACAGCATGTTAAATGTGGAATGGACAGTGTGAGTCTGCACACACGTAATTCGTGCATGAGGTGCTGCTTCCAGTCTCACCTGGATGCAACCGTGCTGGGGAAGCCAAGGAACACAATGATCATGCAGGCCAGAAAGATACAGCAGCACACAAACATGCATTAACCAGCAGCTGTGGCTCTATACCTGCAGCAGCACGGGACACCTGGTCACTGATGTACATCAGGCAGTAGGCACTGGCATTCCTCAAGCCCCCAAAGGATTCTCGCTCCAGCTCTTCCCACGACGACTCTGTCACTGAGATGTCGTTGTACTTGAGCCACCTTTTCCGAGGCTGGTCATAGATGAAGGCCCAGTAGTGCCCAGCATTTGCCTGCCCCTCATGAACCAGGACAGCATGCAAACGATAGGGAACCTGCAAAGGGACATGGACATCATTCACATGTGCACTTAGGGACTGATTCTGCCTGACCTCTGGACACAAACAGGGGAAGTGCTTGTAGGTGTAGCACGGCACAAGAGTCAAGCAATTTGATAAGTTTCTTACTACATGAAAACTGACATTTAAGGAAAGAAGAAACAAGATTTTCACAAGTAAATCTTTCTCTGCTTCATCACTGGAAATTTAAAAATACAGTCAAGGGGGCAATTAAACTAACATCTACTAACAAAAATGAGGATCAGCAATACTAGTTTGGTATTTATGTACTGAAGCTGCATTTCCTACCTGTTGGAGGAGAGGGTCACAGTACATTTGTTCAATGGACAGGTTGATTCTGGCAATAGATTCCTTCAGATCTGCCAAGAACATCAACCATGAGAGAAATACATAAAAATTAATGACTACTCATCAGGCTACGCTAGCTCCTTTCACTTCAAAGAGTTTGAAGCCATGCAGAGACTGTCAGATAGACTCAACACCAGAGCTCAAACAGGGACAAAATGATTTGTAGTTCAGGCTGTAGCCAGCAAAGCTCGAGAGGGGAAAGCAGGCGGGCATTCAGGAGGAAAATCACTACAAATGCACTTGGGGCCAACCTTGCACGTCTTGTTCAATCTCGTTTCTCCATCGCTGCAGACACGTCTGAACCAGGTTCAGCTCTTCCTCAGAGACCACGTGAGGAGCTGGACGTTCAGACAGGTCTGCTGGTGACACAGGAGCCTGGAGCTCCAGACTGGAGCTTTGCTGCAGCGAAGAATTTGCCACAAAACAAGCTTCATCTTCAGTCCTAGTATCAGTCCTCTCTTGTATGCTGTGGAGCAATATCCAAGAGCAGTGAGTAAAATTTTTAATCTTTCTCTAGTATTTCTTTTTTTGGAAAAAGACTACAAAATAAACAAAAAAAAATTACTCCAGAGCAGGAGCAGGATTTCCTTTCCAGAGCAGTATAAAATGTAGAGAGAACCAGTACACTGGAATGTGCTTCTGCCTTCACAGACCAAACTAAAATGTAGGAAAAATACTAAGGAAAGTTCTTACAGAACTCTCTAAGCACACATGCACAATGAGCCAATGCTAAAAATTCCTTCTATTACTACTAAGAAACGTGTGTGTTTACTCAGCTTAATTTAGAGTGTTAAACCAACCATGCTGGCCAGGGTTATAATAATCCAATATTGCTGTAATTTACTGGTCAATGAAGCAAAAAAATGAGTAGCCTAACCAAAAAGAGCATGTGATTCAGTTCTTAACTGCTGTTTAGGCAAGGAATACAGGGATGCTTTTGGATAAGTAGAAAGAGCAGACCAAGATGCAGTGTTCTATTTACACCCACAGAACCAAATGACCAGCAAAGCAGTGACCTGCTACTTGCACAAGCATTTGCAAGTTCCAGCATCGTGTTCACTGGTGCCCAGATAAATAACCCACTTTTGGAATGCCACCCAGGACCATTTAACTGGGAGGTGAAGTGTTCTCCTGTGCATCCTTTTTATTTCTGTTTACTGACCTGTTTGGCTGTGAAAGCACATCCAGAACAGGAGGCTTGTCTTGGGAGTGCAGGAGTGTTGTTTGAGAGCTCTGAGCAGAGGAAACAGCCACAGCTGGCTTTGTAGCAATGAACTCGAGCACATACTGCAGCATGTCAGGCAGTGGAAAGCGGGCTGGGCCAGAGCCATATTCCATGTACCTATGGAAAAATGCAAGGTGGTGTATGAATGAAGGAATGAGATGGGTTTAAATCTCATGGGACAAGACAAGAACAACTTCTTCTGTAATGTGCTACTGGGCTTCCTCACCTCCACTGCCAGTGCAGCTGACACTGTTAACTCTGCTCTTTAAAGAATTCACTCCTGTAACAGTATCAAGAAAATTTAGAAACCATTGAAGAGATGGGTTTGTTTTTGAAAATACACTTCCTTCTTCCATATGTTTCAGAACAAACATGCTGCTGTTCCTCCTTCCCCTACAAGTTTCTCTGCTATTGGACAACTCATTCAAAAGGAAACTCTTGCACTATTCCAGAGGGCGTAAAAATAAAACCAGCTGACTACTCACCTTTCCAGTTTCTGCTGCAGAGTCACCATTTTCTCCTTCAATCTCTTCATTTCTTCTCTTTTCATCTGAATAAGATCTTTATTGCAGTAGAGGTATCTAAAAAGAAATACAGAGCCCCAGGTTTGCCAGGTGAGATTTGTTTACTTCTAACATCCACAATCTTCTGTAACTATTTTAGAATCTTTCCTTGCTCACCCAAGCAATCTTTTAAATTTCTTTATTTATAACAAAGCAATAGCTTTAAACATACGTACAACAGGACGACTCACCTGTCCATATACATAGTCTGGGGAAACTCTAGCTTGGTGTGAATTTTCTCTGGCTGTCCTAGTGACTGATTGAACTCAAATCGGGAGAGTTCAAAGGTCAGAACTGGTGGGAGTTTTGTAAACCAGCGCTGTAACAAAAGCAGAAATGCCCCCAAAGGGACTTGTTTTAAGATGACTGCTAATGACACATTTTAGACTGATCCTATATGATTTCAGACTGATTTAAAAGTCTCTGTCTTTAAGCACTGAATTACATTTTGTTTGCAGAGTGACTAGTCAGCCAAATTTTACAAGTTAGTAATTTATGGTTCCATTTTACATTTTTACTGTGAAAAAGCCTCATAATTGCTCTCCGTGTTACTTGTCATTGCCCGATGCATCTAGCTTGATGAATTATTAACAAGTCCAGCACTGAATTTCACAAATTAGCAGAGGCTACACACAAACTGCACATCATCTAAGAGCCCCCAAGAGAGTTATTTTCTGAGGCAGATCATACGCAGTGATGAACAAATCAGGAGTCCTCCTGTAGCATCAGAATCCTTATTTCTCCCAGGCTACTTGCAAAGTACTTAAGAGACCCAGAGAAGACCTCCAATTACTTTCTGCAGCTTCATACACTGTTTCAAAGAGTTATGCTGAAAGAAAACTTCTCAGTTGAATTTACATTTCCTCTCGCTCTTCCTGGATTCACAATGATTTCCAGCATCCACTGCCAGAAACTTCCTTCACCTATCTTAGCTTGGCACCTCCCACTTCATGTTCCCCTCTGAATTCAGGATGAGCACACTAAGCTCATTTTCCTTTGTGGGATTCACGTCAGATGTCCTGCAGCAACAAAACTCCCCCACAGCAGAGCTTTTTAAGAAGCAGCCATTAACCACAAAGGAGTGATTTATGCTCTCATATTTGGAAGAAGTTTCTGTTAATTCCACTGGTGCTTTGACTTCCAGCACATTTGCCTAGGTGCTCAAAAGACAAAATCATCTTATTCCTTGTGTCCCCTATCAAGCCACCCTTTACCCACCACATCCTAGGGAGTGAAACTAACATGCACAATTTTCCCACTAAGGCTTCTCAGAAATTAAGGCAGAGCTTTTTCCTCCTATCTGTGTAGACAAAAGAATTAAAACAGCTCCAGGATCGGTCAAATTTCCCTTAATTTTGGGAAACAAACCTGCCTGATGAGCTCCAACATGCCTTTGTCTCCAGTGCCAGCCAACACCAGCTTCACCCACATCCCCTGTAAATGTACCTGAACTGCTTCAGGCAGAAACCAGGAAAACCCAGAACTAACATTTGGGTCCAGAGTCAGAACAGGGCTCCCCTTCTCAATACTTCATTTCTCCTTTGCTATTTTAAACCACAGCAACACAATTTTCAGACATTCTCTTAGAACTGAAATACTCTTCCCTATCCTGCCTACACCAGACACCTTTGCCAATGTTGTTTCCCAGCCTTTCTCCAAGCTAACTTTTGCTGCACTGACACACAGAGGATGCTGAATGCAATGGTGCTTCTTCACTGTGCTGAGACTAAGTTTTTTATGATTGGTTTGTGATTAGTGAGATTTAAACAAAAAAAAAGAAATAAAATCATCAGCCAGAAAATAAGAGTGAAAGCAAGAAAAACCCCAAACCGTACACAATATAATAGGGAGAAAGAGACAAATTCTAAATGGCATACCATGGAGTTAAGCACTGTACTTTTACCCTCCGAAAATATGGAGGCAGTAGGTCTCCCCCTACTCAGGTACAGGTAGGCTTCAACAAAAAGAGAGAGACTTGATCACACTTGATTCAAAGGCAGACTGAAAATAAAGTCTTTGAACTGGTTACATAGGACAACACATCTTTATAATTCAGCCAAGACTTAGTGTCTAACCACACTTGGTGTCTGAGCACCTAACACTAACAGACATTTACATGAGAGTCCAGACATCCAGAAAATGTTTTGTATTCAGTTCTCAGAGAACACTCACGGTTGCCATTTAAAGTTTTCAGAGGACCTCTGCACTGTGTGTGCTGCACTTTTCTGCAGCAGGCAACCAAAGGCTCGACAAAAAAGGTCAAACTAACCTCCTGTCCATACTTCACTGACTGAGATGCTGTTGCCTCATCCATCTCTCCCTCCACCATGGCTCCTTCCAAGCACTCATTCAGATTCCGGTACCCATTTACCTGAAGGGGATACTGACCAAAGGTCTCAATCTTGGAAAAAGTGTTGCCTGGATGATGGAAACCATACAGAAACCGTGAGCTAACTCAAGCAAACAAAAAATGCTGGTTAACTCCAAAACACTCAAAAGGAGTTAAAAGGTTGAATCTACCAAAGCCTTAACTCACCCTCATGGACACCCTCAGTCAGGAAAGTCCCGTAGAAGAGCTGCACCATTGGGTTTTCGGATTTGTCTCCAGAGCTCCTGTTTCAGAGAGCAAAAGCACACTTTCATTTGCAGCTGTGGCTGCAAAAAAAAACCCCTAAGTCATAATCTGAGCCTCTGCTTGGGGGCCTAAAAGTACAAAAGTACAGTTTTCTATCCAAGCACTAAATAAAGAGGAAGCTTCTCATTAATTTTCATGTTCCAAAGCACATTATAACATACTGGCAAGAGTGGAAAAAAATAAGTTAAGATGCCAGCTTCTGAAAGGAAGTTTCAAACTACCAGAGTTTTTCTGTTCACCAGGGCTGCTGAGCTCTCTCAAAAGCTCGTTTACTCTGCAGGCCACATCAGCACTGAACGAAGTCCCACACTCACCAACAGGAGATGCAGACACGACACTTCAAGCTTAATGAGCCTCATCCACAGGAAAAAAAACATTCATTTTCTCAAAATTTTCACGTAAAGCTCTCTCATTTATAAAAACTCTCCTTAGGTCAGAGTCCCAAGATCATAGAGAACTCACGTCACATTCACAGTGAGCTGGAAGGCGTCCTCCAGCCAGTCCAGTAGTTTGTGTGTAAATTCACTCACATCTTGCTAGAAGAGAGACCAAAGTGGAGAGTCAATCGTGACCACAAAGTGTTCCCCCAGCCTGCTGGTGTCACACACCCACTGAGCACTGACTGCTACTGCTGAACCCACCCAGCTGAGCTCTGTGACACTGAAAGCTGTGCTGCTTTAGACTGGCAGTGAACCCAGCTCATCTGAACACTCCATCAGAGGAGATGATCGTGATCACTACCCGACTATGCAGATGGCACTGGGTAGTGCATGCTACACTGGCTGGTTAATTAGCACGCATGTACATTCTGCTCTAATGACACAGGGACAGCTGCTTGTTGGCTGACAAACATGGGAAAAGGCCTCTGACAGCACCAGCAGGATGAGGCAAAATGGGGTTGCTGTGGCTGTGACTGCTGGTTTGAAGAGAGCAAAAGGCTTTTCAACGTGGCTTTACCTGTGGTTGTTCAGCTGATCTAAACACATCTCTCAAAAGTTCCAGTGCTGCAGAAGGGTCCACGAATTTACGCCATGTCCCCAGCATTAATGCAAACAGACACTGAAGTTCTTGCATGAATGCAATATTTCTTTTTCCCTGCATTGCAGAAAGAAGAAAAGTCAAAGCTTTTCTGCAGCTCTAAAAAGCGTAATCTTAAAACTTAGTGCTACTGAACACTACATGCACATATCATAAAAGGTACCCAATCAGATGCACACTGGCTCCAATACCAGTTCTTCTACCATGCATGCAAACCAGTGAGTAATCTGGAGCTGCCAAGTAAGTTTTATGGGGAAAACATCTCCCCACACAGCAGTTAAAGGCTCTAGAGGACAGGGGTACAAGAAGCAGCTCATTTTTTTTCCCTATTCTGATTCTGTCTTTGAGAATTTCCTAAATTTATCTTAAACGCAGCCAGATAATTTTAAAGCCATAGGTCTCAAATGGTCCCAAATTAAATCTGGTTAGAGAAAGAGCAGAGTGCTATAACACAAAAGAGGCAAACTTGACAATGTTATTGAATCAAAACTTACAGTGTGACTACAACAACTTTCAAGCACATTCTGTGGGAGGGAGTACCCAAGGACCAGCCTCCGGAATTCTGGCAACTGAAACAGAGACTGAAAGGAGAGGAGAGGTAAAGCTCGCTCAGCACCTGCAAGGATTGGACTCACTGCAATCTAATGCCCTGTTTTCACTCTGACTTGACAGGTTTCTGCCAACTTCACATTACCAATGGTCCCGTGTTATTGAGTGCATGTTCACAGTGTGAGCAGCCCCTGTGCTGGACCAGCACAGAATCAGAATCACAGAATTAACTAGGCTGGAACAGACTTTTGAGATCATCAGCATGTTTGTACCCACCCAAGAACGAAATCTCATCCTGCTATTTCTAGGATAGATATAAATCTTTTAGGAAAATCATTCTATTCTGCACAGGCAGGTTCATAAAAGCACCAGGAACAAGCCATGGTGAGAAGAACCAGTTTGCAGCTTTCTTACTTTCTCTCAGAGCTGAAGACAAAGGATTAACATCTCTCTGCTGATGTGAAATGGTTAGGAGAGACAAATCTACTCAGTTCCCCTTACTGTTGTCTCTTCTTTAGGTCATTACTAATAATATATGCTGCATAGTTGTTTATTTGTTCAAGCATCTATGCCAGTGTATTCCATTAGCTGAAATATGATACACCATGTGTTATCAAGCCAACAATAACTGCAGTAAAATTAAATTATCAGTTCACTTTGCCAGGCAAGCTTCTGTCATTTCAGTAGGCACTTGGCCATCGCTGCACAACTCCCTGCATACACACACAGATTCTCTTTATCTGGAGCTATTTTTAAGCAAAGCCTATTTAACTGCTCTTTGGCTCTTTCTGTACAAGCCCAGAACACATCACAGTCACATCACATAAACCCAGAAGTTTCTGTGTTTGAGCAGGGTCATATTCACTGACTCCCTCACAGAACTGCTGCATGTTTACTTCTAACTGAGAAACATTCTGACTCCAAGACCACGGCAAGTTTGACATTAGAAAAAGAGAACTTTTTTGTAGATTACCTGTATAACAGCACTAAACCAACATGTATTTCCAATATTTTTCATTCCAACAGGCCAGTCACCTGCTCTTCTCCAGTCATCCTCCTTGGGGCTCTCTCCCCAGACTTCACAGCGTTTCCTTTTGGAGCGGTTTTTGTTTTCAGCAGAATGAGTGTCCTGTGCTCTGTCACAAGAGATAAACTCTGCTGTAAAACACCCTCCAAAGATTCACGAGGACTACAGGAATCAAACTCCCCTCCAGCCAGTAGGTGTCCACCTGGCAGGTGATCCATGTTAGTTCTATAGTTACCAGCTTCAGAACCCACTTATGATACCTGGGAAAACCAAAGTGGGGGAGCCATTTACAGCTCCACTGACCTTTCAGCTGCATCCCTCTCTGCAGCCAGCGTTTTTGGTGATTCCAGTGGTCTGACCGTGTTGGCTGTGCAGAGGTTGTCTTGGTTGTGAAGGGTAGGTACAGCACTAACATCTACAAGTGGAGGCAGCATTCTGATCAGTTTTCCACCAGCAGCAGCAAACATTCTCTTTAAGAGGAAATTCTAGAAAACATCATACTTCACAAATACAGCTCTTCAATCAATACAAGGAAAAATTTTCTAGCTCAGGTTTTAAACAGAAATCCCAGTTCAGATCACACCAGGCAACCTAAGAGCCACTGAGTGAGCTGGATGAGAACAGGGCAGAGCATGCAGCTGTGTACTACCCAGATTTCCTTACAGCCAAATTCAGAGCTTAAGGAAACAGCTCAGAGCTCTTGAAATGAGACAGGAACATAATCTTTTTAACTGTGATATGTCACCTCTAAACATTATTAAAACACTACTAAGTGATCAGTACTGGCAAAATATGCACCAGAAGGGAAGCTGGAGGGATGTACTGCTGGCAGAAGCAGGGAGGATGGATCCCTTTGAGCTCACACAAACACATGAAGCTGTAGGAGGGAGCAGAGGTGAAGCTCACCCTGTGGGAGCTGTTTGCTCACTGTGCTCCCTTCCCAGACCGGGCTCTGCACTGGCTCTGGACTGGAGTCCTCCGTCAGAAAGGTGACTGCTTCCATGAGATCTCCATCAGCAGCCTGGCAGAATGACAGGGGAAAGCAAAGCACCAGTGAGGAGCACAACAGCAAAGGATTTACCCTTTGCCTCTCATGCATCCAGGCTGATCCTGGATTGCTCTCACATGGACCATTCTAACAAGGACCAGCTGACAAACACACCGGACAACACCTGTGTGCTATGCTGGGTGAGAGCCTGAACTTGCCTGACTTTTTGGACAAAATTAGAGCTCTCTTTCCCCAAAACAATGACAATATACACAAACCTTTAGAGCAGCAAGCAGGAATGCTGAATCCTGAATTCCTGTGATTTCTTTCATCTGGTTTAAGAGCACCTGGCAATCCTATGTGCAAGAAATAAAGAAAGTTCATATGAAAAGGTGACCAGGATGGACACTGAGCTGTTCTGCAAGGCTTGGTGAGGGCCCAGTGGAGCCTTTCCTTCCTTTCTGCTGACAGACTGACACACAAGCCCAGTCACACTTGCTTCATGCAAATACCAACATCAGCTTGAACATCGCACTCAGGCTTTTTCCCTGCTGAATTCACAGACTAACACTCAACCCCTCGTACCCTCAGGAGAATGCAGGCAGGCCTGGGAGGACAGCCCTGGCTGCTGCTGTGGGATGTGCAGCACCCGTGGTGGGAAGGGGCTCCCCCACCCCCCGAGGCAGTGGCATGTGCAGCAGGACATATAAGGCAGCCGCCTGCTCCCAGGGCACTGTCAGCAGCTATTTTCAGTGTGGTGGCACATGCCATTTGTGCATGTCACTTCTTACTGACAATAAGGTGTCAGGGCAAGGACCCAGGAGCCTGTTATTGCTCCTCCTCCCTGCTCCACAGACCACTTGAGGTCTGGTGAGACACTTGCTGCTCAAGGCCTGGTTCACAACCTCTGGCCGGTTCAGACAATTAAAACAAATGATTACAAAAATTCTCTTTACCAGACTTATAAAATCTTTGCAGCCCAGGCTTACCACAGGGCGGTCACTGCACATGGTACGCACAAATAACCTCAGTCAACGACTTCTAGGAGAGGCAGCTCTCCACAAGGAGCCTCCTGGTGCTGGGGTCCCACCACCCCTGTCCATGGCTGCAGTTCAGCTGATGCTGCTGCCAATGGCTCCGTCTGGGTGACAACTGAGATGCAGCTCCATAAAGCTGGCATTGTATGTGGTATGGGAAGGACATTACGGCAGGAACAGCTGCTGGGTCTGTGCTGTGTATCCTGATTTACAGAGGCTGTCGAGGATCCTGCAGTCAGCACAGCCCTATCAATCCCAGTTCCTTAAGATCACACTTTTAATTACCCTTAACCAGCAAAGCAGCAGGTAAATGAACTCAAGTTTCTACTTACCCTCACCATTGAGAATAAAAAAATAAGATGCTTCCAGGCCACTGGAACACAAGTTCCACCCAGTGAGTAATGAGTCAACTTCTTTTTTGAGCCCCCCACTCATACTGCGATGGATGATACTCCACACACAAAGACAGCATGCACCCATTTCAGCTGTTAAAAACACCCCCTCCTATTTTGGTGGCAATTCTCTTGTCAAGTTATTCTTGGCAGTCCCATTTAAAATACTACTTTTGCTCAACTTTTACAAGAAAAAGCACATGTGTGTGTGCAACCCCTCTCAACTCATCCCATACACTCTTCTTATCCTGAGAAAAGCCAAGATGCACTGGAACACCTCAGCAGCCCCAGGAGGAGCTGCCCGATGAGCAGTCAAGGCTGAGGGGCCCGGGGCAGGCATACTCTCACAAAGGCAAACCACTTAAATCATGTTGCTAATTTTGCTGTCTTAGCGCGTGCTGTGCATGTCGGCTGACCCCACCTTACGCCGCGGGGTGGATTTTTCCAGTGGAGGAAAAAAACCACAAATACCCTTGCTAATACATTGTATTATAATAATGAAACTCAAGGCAGGACAGGGCATGATTTTCTGGGGTTTTTCTGTTCCAGCAAACAGAGAACTCACAAAGGCTGCTGTAAGCATAAAAGCTAATTACTGATCCTCTGCTCTAAGTTACCATTTAATATTTCAATGATTTCTGCGTGCTTTTATTCAGCCTTTGAGGAAAGGTTTGTGCTAACATCAGAGAGCTTATCCTGAACCACTTTCAAGAGGGTTACGGCTGCCTGGCAACCCACAAAAACCACTCTCTGTGCAACCAATTTGTTAAGATTTTGGGGAGTGTGCATGGTTTTGTTGCTATAACTAGTCTGGTTATTGCTTTCTGAGGTTATGCGCCATGGGGCTACAAAACAAGCTCTTAGCTGGTAATTAACAGCAGTGTGCTGCTGCTGCTAACACACCCTGCACTTGCAAACCCAAACTGAACCAAAGCCCTACCTGCTGGAAAAATAACAACCCGAACCCAAATCCTATTAGTATTAAATTACAGCAACAAGAGATGAGTACAAAACCAAGAGGTTGAGAGGAAGGAGGGTACTAGAGATAAAATTACAAGGTCAGCCAGGAATGATGGAATAGAAAGGTTTTGCTGTTTTCCCTGCTCCAAGGTGACTCACCGCCCTCAGAAGTTTGTTTTGATGAGAAACTGTGAACAGGGAAAGGAGCAAATACAGTGCAGGAGTTCAAGGAGGTTCCAGAAATAACCACACACAAGGAGGAGGAAGGTTGCAGCACACAAGGGGAACACAGAGCCTTGGCCTTCAGCCTCTGCACCTCAGCCATGCTTTTTATCTCAAGAGAAAATAGATATGGAGGGGGCTGGAAACCCACAGGCGGCAGCAGGAACAAAGCCCACGTTCCTGGCCGAGGCTTTCACAAACCAATATCCATCACAAGAAGAAGCAGCGGGCAGCAGCCTCGTCCTGCAGTAACATGTGCGAGGTGCACGCCGCGGGCACCGTCTGGTCACCGTCCCCACAAGACCCGGGCACGGCTGCTGCACTAATGCCACTTCTAACGCACAACCAAAGGGCTGATACCCTCATACCATCCCACCCTGCAACTCTGACCTCTCTGAAACGCATCTCTTGGGTCCTAAGAGCACAAAGATGCTACAGAACAGTGGAGACGCCTGTGTCAGTTCGGGATGGTCTGGGCTTCAGTCCCCTGAGCACTGACACGGGCTCGCGTCCAGGTCCGGGTCCGAGTCCGTGTCCCGTCAGAGACAATTTACGCAGAGCCCTGAAGTTTGGGAGCAACAGCTTTCGTTAACTTGCCCCGGGAGATGCTGCTCGGCGGCGGGGAGGGAACACGCGTTCGTGCTCGGTGCAGAGGCGGCGGTGTCTGAGCGCCCGCCCGAGCCCTTTCCCGTGGTACCGGCGCCCCGCGCGCCGCCCCGCGCGCAGCCCGTTATTCCCAACGAAACACGCGCGGACGGCAGCGCGGCCCGACGGGGCGGGCTCCGGCAGCGCGCACGGCGGGGAGGCGCCGCGGACCGGCCCGAGCGGCCGCGGGCTCGGGGTGCGGCGGGGCCGCCGCGGCGGGAGAGTCGGTCCGGCGGTCAGCACCGGCCCCGGGCGGGGGTCGCCGCCCGCCGCGCTCCTCGCGGCCCCGCGGCCTCGCCCCGCCGCCCCCGCGGTCCCGTCCCGCCAACCCAGCCCGACCCCGCGGTCTCGCCCCGTTCTCTCACCTCGCCGCCGCCGCCCCGGGCCCGCGGCTCGGCCGTCATGGGGGCCGCCGGCAGCGGCGCTGTGCCCGCGCACCGCGCACGCGCGGCCGCTCCGGTTCCGGCCGCGCCGCCCGCCGGGGCCGTGTCGGCCGTGTGCCTGTCTGTGTGTCCGTCTGTGTGTCCGGCCATGCCCGTCTGTGTGTCCGTCTGTGTGTCCGGCCATGCCCGTCCGTGTGCCTGTCTGTGTGTCCGTCTGTGTGTCCGGCCATGCCCGTCCGTGCGCCTGTCTGTGTGTCCGTCCGTGCGCCTGTCTGTGTGTCCGTCTGTGTGTCCGGCCATGCCCGTCCGTGTGCCTGTCTGTGTGTCCGTGTGCCTGTCTGTGTGTCCGGCCATGCCCGACTGTGTGTCCGTCCGTGTGTCCGGCCGTGTTCCCCCTCCCGAGGAGCCCCCCATCATCGCCCCGGCCGCCGAGCCCGTTCTCCCCTCTCCCGCACCAGCAGCCGTGATCACCGGCCCCAGCCGGCGCTCTGCCCTGGCCGCGCCCCTCCACCCTGATAAAAGTGAATTGTTTTCTTTTAATTACAACAATTAACACCCCCTCCCCTCCTTTGATCCTGCGTCCGCCCGTGCTGGCCCGGTGCTGCCCGGGCGCGGAGCTGCGAGCAGGGCAGCGGGTGGAGGATGCAAGAGGGGACTGGGATGCTCCAGGGGTGGATGCGCCAGGCTGTGTTTAATGTTTAGCAGCCTGATTAATGCTGTGATAATTAACTAAGATGAAGAACAACTTGTTTGCAGTATTAAGTGCAGTCACAGCACTGTTACATCCAAGACAATTTACTGTGAAGGAGATTGTACACCATCAGAGCAAGCTGCAGACGTGCCCTCTCCTTCCATGTCCTGAGACCTTTCCATACAGCCTTGACTTGGCAAAAGGAAGCAAGCAATAAGTGCTTTAAAAACATATAAAAAGCCCAAACCTGAATGTCAGTCTCTTGTCACTGTCCCCTCCAGGGCTGTTCCCACACTTCTGACCTCTCCAGCACTGCCAAGTCCTCCATGGATTGTATTTCAACAGAAACAAGAGGCAGAAGACTTTTCTGCAAGACTTTTTCAGACAGGAGTCTTTTACATCGAGGCAGTCATCGCGTGCACAATCCCTGCTGCAAACCTGCCCTGGGGATGGGGACTCTTCCAAGGTGGCAGCATGTGGCCACAACAGCGCTGGAGCCCACTGTCCTTCTCCTGCCTGTGACACAGAATTGCTGTCCCACTCAGTATCAGCCAGATCTCCTTCATTAACAGCAATGAGCTCCAAATACCTTCATGTACCTGTTATTACCTGGCTTTAATGGTAAACGAAACAGCAGCAGAATATTGCAAACACCTGAAGGGTGTCTAATGAAAGAGAGGACATGAAAGGAAAGCACTCCCATCCCTTCTCTGGGGAATTTAAAAGCATTGGGCTCCTTCACTGGGGTGAGGATGGCCTTGCTACCTGGAATGGGCAAAGCTACCGGCATCCCTAAATTAAATTAAATTAGCCAAGGGTGCAACACTGAGCAGCTGTTCACGGCATTTGGTCTTTCTTGGAGCTGCACAACGTGAGTGCCAGATCCTGTGTGTCCCCCTGGCCCCTTGCAGTGACCCAGGGATGCAATCAAGCCCAAGCATCCCAGAGGACCAGTGTCCCTGGGCGCAGGGCCCCACGGGAGGGACGTCTGCTGTGAGCCTGCCCGTGCCCATGCAGCCCTGCCTGCCTGCGGTGTTTATTTCATGTCTCGCAGCGTTAAATCATAGCAGACATGCAATTCGGGGAGCGTGAGGCTCCGTAATGGGCGGCCTTAGGCGCGTGATGGGGCCGGGGCCATCAGGCAGCTGTGCTGCCAGGGCTCCTTGCTGATGCTTTATTGTTTTTGACGCTCCAAACGCGCTCTGAAAGGTGAGCGCTGGCAGCCTGAGGAGAGCTGCTTCCCTCTCCTGCCCGCTGCGCACCGGCAAGCACCACAACTGAGGCCTCCCTCCCTGTTCCCACTGTGGTCCCCAGCCTGGCTACAACACCCCGTCCTGCACAGAGCCCAGCCATGCTCCTGCCACGGCTCAACAGTGCCCAGCACATTCCATGGCATGGAGTGAATATAATGCATAATGCTGTGCACCCAGGACTTGGGATAAGGTCAGGCTGGAGTGAGGAGGGAATGCAGAGCATCGCTTGTATCATCACATGCTGAGGATCTTGTGCTAGTGCCCCTGTGCTCTCCCCAGCCTCTGAGATGGCTGCTCTGGGCTAAACACCTGCTTGCCCATCCAGGGAACCTGCTCGCAGCGTGGCTGCTCCAGGAGAGAGGCCTGAGTGCTCATCCACCCCGGTGCAGAGATGCTGCCATGCCTGGCTGCAGCGGAGCCTGGACAGGACGCAGGCTGAGCTGTGGGAAGCCCCAGGCGCTGAGCACTTCGATTCCCAGAAAAGCAATTACCGTGCAGCAGATTAGAGGGCTAATAAAATCCCATTATGCTATTTCGGAAAGTAAATCTGATCTGGGCGCTGCCGATTGATATCAGCCGTCCCACAAAATGTCCCGCAAGAGCCGCCTGCGTGCGCACGTAACACGAGACTACAGTAGATCACGCTAATTAGGTATCCAATAACAGGAGGGCTGATAGGAACTACATTAAAATCTCTTTAAGATGAAGATGTAAAACCCAAGGGAGAAAATTCAGAGTTAATGATGCTGCAGCAGAGGCTCCACTGGAGTAGTCCACGCCCGCTTGGCCTCATCCTGCCGGCTGCAGACGCAGGAGGCTGGAGGAGAGGGGGCAGAGCGGGGCACAGTCCCCAGCACCATGGTGGCGCTGCCCGTGATTTCCATTACCCAGATTCAATAAGGGGAGAGCGTTATGAGCTGCTGGCGCTCCCTGGGAGGTGACTTGCCTGCCACTAACGGAGCCGAGAAATCAAATTAGCCCCAGCTCTGCTCTCGCTCTCTCCCTGACACCGCTGTTGGCAGCCAAGGGGGAGTTCATCAGGGCCCCGCACTAATTCTTATCTCGTTTAAGTGACTCCATGCCGGCATCTGATGCAATTTGCTCTACGCCGCTGCCGCAGGCTTTGGTCCCTGCCCGCCACTTCCCCAGGATTTCCAGCAGCTGGCAGCTTTGTGGGGGCATAGGCACCTGCAACACACAAGCACAGTGTAGACACACAAGAATAGAGAAGATTATAGAGGCTTGGAGTGGAGGGGAAGCTCCCCTGCCCGGCAGAGGACGCTGCCCAGCTCAAGGCTATGATGCTGTGACACGGAGGGATGGATGCGCAGCCTGAGCAGGGCACCCACGCATGGGTGGACACCGAGGACCTTCTGACTCTCAATAATACCTGACCAGACTTTGCTTCTAGTCTTGTTTGCCCCGAGGCGTTAAATATTTCGGGAAACTGAAACCAGTGTGCACTTTGTTTGCTGACATTTACAGCGCATGCAAAATTCTGCGGTGAAAACGGATCCCAGTGTAGGTGCAGGTCGGAGGGGTTGGGGGAAGCTGCTGTCCCAGGCAGGGGTGCCAAGGGCTGGCTGCACATGCTGCCCTCACCTGCGACTGTCAGAGCCACTGTCAGTGGGACAGACACACTTGCAGCAGGGTGTGAAGGGGAGCCGGGACACCCAGAGCTCCCCTCTCCCCTACTGATGGAAACCCACCCTGTATCAGTACCACATCCCTGGACACTTTCCCCTCCCCTGCCTCTCAGAGGGTCTTCCCCATCTTTCCAGCTGCTGAGGAGCTCCTGGTGCAGCCCTGGCACCTGCAGCGCCCTCTCCCCTCATCGTGCCCCCCACTGCACATGGGCATGATGCTCGTACCCCAAAACCCACTTTGCCACAAGCAGGCACCTGGGCAGAGGACGGGGAACCTCTTTTGAAGCTGGGCGGGGGTGGGGGGATAGCTGGGTGGGCCCCACTCGCATCCTTCCAGCCTGAAACTTGATGCAGCGGGAGAGGCTGATCGCGAGATTAATTGGGCGTTCTCAAAAACCCGACGGCGGGGGGAAAGCCATACGAGTGCTGCCTGCTTCCCTGCTCCGCTCAGTCCTCCGCCGAGCCGGCGGCGACGGGAGCCAGCGGATCCATGGTGCCCACGGCTCTCGGGGCTCTCCTGGCCCTGCTGCCACTGGCCTCGATGCTACAAAGCCCAGGTAAGGTGAGGGGCCCGTGGGCAGGGCTGGGGAGCTGAGGCAAATCGGGGAGCTCCTGGCACGGAGCAGCACCTTCCCAGAACCTGAGCCGTGCTGAATGGCAGGCAAAGGCTGCTCTTTAGGGAAACCTTCGTGCTACTGGGAAGTGACATACCTGGGAGAAGCTGGAGCGTGGGACAGCTCCGATGCAGAGCGTGGAGGAGCATCCTGCCTGGGTAACACTGACAGCAAGGCAACGTAGCCTTAGGAGCAGCTCTGCTCTGTGGGGTCATCACTGAGGGGTCTCGAGGTACTCGGGAGCTGTGCAGAGAGCCAGCCCTGAGGACAGAGACACGGGGGTCTCCTGCCTGCACTCCACTATCTGAGAGATGCTGCCTGAGCCCCCTGCCTGATGAAGGGCTTTCTCCTATACAATGTTTAGTACCTTGTAACCTGCAGCTGGGTTTTGGGCTGTGCCTGTAGTTTGTAATTGCAGCTCTGCGCAGTGCGAAATTGACGGCCAACATACGTCCTTGTTATTCCATTATTATTTTCTCATCTAACATTCCTGGGAAATAGCACAAAAATCCTTGAGCTATTTTGCACCAGCCCAGCTGAAAGAGTTCAGCCAGCTAGTCACTCAGATCTCTAGATAGGTCTGTAGCTCCTGTCATCCAACTCTCAAACCTTCTCCCACTTTTAGCACGTCAAAGGTGGCAGAAAAGGAGCGGGAACAGTGATAGTCTCACCCTGGCAACACTGGCCAGGAGGGAGGAAGGGCTGTGCAGACAGATACCCATGCGTTAGGGCTGTGCCAGGGTTGTGCCGAGTGGCACCAGGTGAGCTGCCGGCACAGATTTGGTCTGGGCAGACCAGCACTGTGTCTAGAGCAGAGGCAAAGAGCATCTGAGGTGAACACAGCCGAGTTCTCCCTCTGCAAAGCCATTTCCCTGCTGTCAAAGTATTCTGATGCAGATATGGGTGGCGTGGATGTGAGGAGAAGATGCAAGGAGGTGTGCAAGTACGAGCCAGCTGCAGCAGGAAAGGCCACTTGGCCCAAGCTGTGGTGATGGCAGCGCCTGTACTTCCTCCCCTCACCCTAATTGCTGCCTCTTCCCCATCTCACTGCCTCTGTTGGTTCATGCCTGCCTGGGCGAGCATCATGCACCTGGCTGGCTCCCCAGTACTACCACTCATGAGCAACGTCAGAGGGGCTGAGGCTGCTGCTTTTTCTCTTTTTTAGCTTAAAATACAGATTAAAATTCCCTTCCAGCAGCTTTTCCCAAGTTCCCATAGATCTATTCCAATTAGTCTCTTCCACTATGCTGGAATTGGACTCTGCGGCTGGATGTGCTACAGAGCACAGCCACAAGTGTGGCACTGTTGCCCTGGCCCAGCCATGGCATTCCAGGTGCCTGGCAGTGAGGACACAATGCTGAAAATAATTTGCCCTTGGTTGATGCTGCTGGCACCAGTGAAGGGACTGTTTCCACAGGAAGCAAACACCAGGATACCAAATAAATGAATTTAGCATCGTGCTTCATCTCTAACGTTCACCGTCTCCACCTGAGACGGCAAAGAAAAGCCCCTGGAGGGAGTGAAAGGTATGAAACTTACCCGGGGGCAGTGTGTCCCTCGTGCTTCCCTGCTGCCGCTCTCCTGGCACTTCTCTAGAGAGGTGAAGGCTGGCAGCTGTGTCCTCTGAGGCTGGGGAAGGTCACAGCACTGACAACCTGCACAGCACAGGTTGTAGGTGATGGTTCTGGCTTGCTTCCCATCAGGATGCTCCTATTTAAGTTGGATGGGAAGCCTCACCTGGTAAGTGAGGGCAGGGAGCTGGCAGCATCCCGCAGCCCATGGCACACCCCAGAACGATGGCAGCCACTGCCCCAGTGCGAGCAGCCTCCCTCCCTCCTCCCTCCCTTCCTCCCTCTGCTCAGCAGGTTCCCAGCGCGGGGGCCGGGTGCCCGAGCCCTCCGAGCCTGCCCTGCGCCGCCTGTGCCACCACCTGCTGGCCCACTACCAGAAGGGCACCCGGCCTGTGCGGGACTGGCGAACGACCACGAACGTGGCCATCGACCTCATGGTCTATGCCATCCTCAGTGTGGTGAGTCCTCTGCTCCCATTCTACGTGCCTGCAGGGAGGGGAGCGGTACCTGGCCTGCAGCATCCTCCCAGCACGCTCTGCCCATCTTCTGGAGCGTCAATGCCCCCATTCTGACACCGTTCTCATCTTCCCACAGGATGAGAAGAACCAGGTGCTGACCACCTACATCTGGTACAGGCAGGTGAGTAGCCATGAAGCGTTGCCCCTTCCTTGGTGGCCCTCCTCGGGGTCAAGCACCCCCAAGCCCCCATGTTTTCCCGTGAGAGAAGTGTGCAGTCCTGTCGGAGGGCAGTGAGGGATCCTGGCTGGCACATGTTCATGTAGCACATGAACCTCAAGGCTCAGCTTTCATGCTCCCTGTTTTGCACGGTTGGGTGTTGTGTGAGCCGAAGGATAAATTTTCCCTCCCTTCCATGCTTGGTGCTAGACTGGGGTCTGTGTGCTGGCAGAGTGGAAGGACCTCACCCACCCAGTCCCCTCTCCGTTGTCCCCAGCACTGGACAGATGAATTCCTCAAGTGGGACCCAGCTCACTTCGACAACCTGACGCAGATCTCCCTCCCTGTAGAGAGCATCTGGGTGCCTGACATCCACATCAATGAGTTGTGAGTGCAGAAAAAGTCTCGAGGGAGATAGACCGTGACCGGAGCTCCCTCACCCACCATGGGCACGTACCGTCCCATGCTTTGTATTCCTGGCACAGAGCTGGCAGCCTCCCCACATCGGGGAGCTGCAGATGGGGATTGGCTCGGCAGTTGGGCCATTTCCAATGCTGGCTAACCACAACCGCCGGTAATTACCCTCACTGTGCTGGGGGTGAGATCCAGATATCAGGAGAAAGGCTTTGTGAAGGCAGTACAATGCAAGGGCAGCTGCAGAGCTGCTGGCCCTTCCCATGGAGCTATCTGGTGTTCTTCCCCCTCCGTGGGGATTTAAATTGTTCCCAGTGCCTCCTGAGGGCTCTGGGACAATGACACAGACACTTTTCGGGCTGGGAGAAGGCAGCAGTCTGGGCAGTGCAGAGGCGATGCGAGGCAGTAATGCCTGCAAGGGTATGACCAAAAAAGCAGGGGCAAATCCCTGGCTCTTGGGCAGTTGCCCCCTGAAATGCCACTTGAACCCCTGCCCAGAGCGCTCTTCAGCCCACATCTCTCTCCTTCATGTCCCTCAGTGTGGATGTTGGAAAGTCTCCACACGTCCCCTACGTTTACGTCAGCCATCACGGGGAGGTGCAGAACCTCAAACCCATCCAGGTGATGACCGCCTGCAGCCTGGACATCTACAACTTCCCCTTCGACGTCCAGAACTGCTCTCTCACCTTCACCAGCTGGCTGCACCACAGTGAGTGCCGGGACGCCCAGGGCTAGGGGGCTCGGGGGAGCGGGCAGGACCTCTGCCGGGCCGGAGCTCCGTGCAGAAGGCGACTCGTCCCTCTAGATGGCCCCAGCGGATCGGGGAAGCGTGCAGGGACGGCAGGCACGCAGCCCGGTGTGGAGCTGCCGGCAGCTGCCGCCGCTTTGGGCGGGGTACCCCTGGTTCTCACCTCTCCTCTGCTCCCCCAGTTCGCGATATCAACCTCTCGCTGTGGCGGCAGCCGGAGCTCGTCAAGTTCGACCGAAGCATCTTCATGAACCAGGGCGAGTGGGAGCTGCTCTATGTCCTCAGCCGCTTCCAGGAGTTCAGTGTCAAGAGCAGTGACAGCTACGCTGAGATGAAGTTCTATGTAAGAGCCTTTGAAACTGCCTTTCTCGAGGACTTGCCCCATCCCTGTTGCTGCTCTGTGCTGCAGCTCCTGTCTGCTCGTGGGAGGCTCCTGCTAGGGAGCCCTTCCTCTGGCTCGCCTTAGTGCCCCCCACCATCCTCACCTGCCTTGGCAAAGGGCCACACCAGCTGAAGGCCTCATTTCAGCCCTTCACAGCCTTTTCTGTCTCTGTCCTGCAGGTAGTCATCCGGAGACGCCCCCTCTTCTACACTGTCAGCCTGCTGCTCCCCAGCATCTTCCTGATGGTTATGGACATTGTGGGCTTCTACCTACCTCCCCACAGTGGTGAGAGGGTCTCTTTCAAGATCACTCTCCTGCTGGGCTACTCGGTTTTCCTCATTATTGTCTCCGACACGTTGCCAGCTACTGCCGTCGGCACCCCGTTGATAGGTACGGTGTGCACTGATCCCACTGCCACGGCAGTCACGGGCAGACACCACGGGGCCCGGAGAGCTGAGCAGGGAGGATTTGCTTGGGCCCGTGCTCTGTGCACGAGCCTTTGCAAGTTACTCACCTCAGTGATGCCTCTGCAGGCATCTACTTTGTGGTGTGCATGGCACTGCTCGTCATCAGCCTGACAGAGACCATCCTGATTGTGCGCCTGGTGCACAAGCAAGACCTGCAACCCCACGTGCCTGAGTGGGTGAAACACCTGCTGCTGGAAAGAGCCACCATCCTGCTCTGTATCCGGGACAGGAAGAAACTCAGCCAAAGCAGGACGCAAAGCTTGGACACCTCCAGGCAGGTGGAGAGCAATGACAGCACAGGTAAGGGTTGCACAGAGAGGGCCTGTGGGAACTGAAGGAGTCTAGGTGCTCTGTAGCCATCTACACCTGCACAGCCATCCTTTGTATGGTGAAGTGGCTGCCTAGTTCACCCTCACAAGTCCCAGTTCCCTGTCTAAATAGGTTTTTCACATTTGCTTCTCTTGATCCCTCAGCCAAGCTGACCCCCTACGTCTGTGAGGACCCCCGGGAGTGCGGGGCAGCGGGGGGCATGAGGTCTGCACTGGCCTTTGCTGGCCGGACGGAGGGCTCAGCAGCATTGCAGGAGATGCTGCGTGAGACCACGGCTATCCGCCAGCTCCTGGAAAAACGGGAGGAATTCCGCGACGTCGCCCGTGAGTGGCTGCAAGTGGGCTACGTGTTGGATGTCCTGCTGTTCCGGGTGTACTTGGCAGCAGTCCTGGCTTATAGCATCACACTGGGCACCCTCTGGTCGGTGTGGAGGGATGCCTGAGCAGTGTCCATTTTTCAGAGCGGGGGACGGGGGATCTCACTCTGGTGGGCTCTCCCTGGCTCTGGGATTAGCTCGTGTCTGTCGACCCAGGCGGGCGCATCCCTCGTGTCCCTCAGCTCCGCAGCGGGAAGGCGGAGCTGAGCAGGAGTGCCCAGGACCCCATGACCCTGCCCAAACCTCTTCCCATGCTTCCCCTGCCAGCCCCGGGAGCGCCTCCGGCCCGGCCCGGCCACGGCCGCGGCTTCAGCACCGCGGACAGCGGCCCCGCCGCCCGGCCCGGCCGCTTCCCGGCCCGGGGTCCCTCGCATCGGGTGGGGTCCCCCCAGCACTGGGGGATCCCCACTGCCCCAGGGGTCCCGCTGTCCTCGGCTCCCCTACCTCTCACCCCGGTGCTGCCTCTATTCCCTACCCCGGCCCCCGGCACGCTTGCCCAGCAGATCCCCACCATGCTTGTGTCCAGCAGTTTTAACAGAGCAGGAGAGACCCAGTGCTCGGCCGCGGCCGAACCGGGATGGCACCGGGACTGACTCCGTGAGCACGCGGTACCGGGGGAGATGCACGCAGGCAGGACTGCCATCATAGCTGCAGTCGGTCCCCAGCTCCCGCTGTCCATCTGTCCCTGCCAGGACAGAAGGTGAAGAGGAGAGGAAAGTGCTGCAGGTGCCCTAAGGGCCCATCCCATGCTCTAGGAGCATCTCTGCATATGGGCCTGCAGGTGATGGGGGACAGGTGGGTCAATATCCCCTGGCTCTCATACATCTGCCCTCAAACCCACAAGCCCCAGAGCAAGACTCCCACTCACCCTCCCAGAGCCATCACCTGCAGGAAAACTTACCTCTGAGTGACAGGGGCTGAGGACGGCTGGAGTGGGCTCCTGCCAGCGCCGGCCCGCACTAACACGCTGATGGTCTGTAAGTGGCTGCCTATTGATGAGGTGTCCAGTTAAAGAGTTCGTGAGACACTAAATCAGCCCATTGATCCTGCCGAGATCGATGGTGCTACAGACCTGATCAGTGCAGTGGGCAATTAACACCCTCTGGAATGAGCTGCCTTCGTGTAACATCAAACGCTCCAACAGACAAATCCAATGGGGCCATTGACCTGGGTGTGCGATGCCACCCAGCCCGTGTGTTTGATGAGGGTACTGGGCAGCAAGACTCCTGAGCCAGTCTTGCCATCCCTCTCCTGCCCACCGTGCCCCCGATGTCCCCCAGGGCTGCACTGCAAGATGCTCACCTGTGCTGCTGTATCCCATGGAATGTTTTGGTCCTTCTCCTTGTCCTCCCTGTGCTAGGAAGCCATCATGTACCCAACATAACCCCCTCAAGCAGCTCAGCAGCCCTTTTCCCTGGAAGGACAGGCTGCCCATGCTGGAGGAAAGTTTGTTTCTCCCTTTGACCTCTTGCTACTTTGGGAAGTGTTGCATGTAGGAAAAAGTTCTAGGCGTCTGAGAGAAGCCTGGATTTTCCTCTTTAAAAAAAAAAAAAATCAATAAATCTGAATCTAATCTCCTAATAAAGGTTTAATGAGGACATAATGTTGATGGAACAGAACATTGTTGCAGCATAATCGCTCCCAGCTGCTGCGCGAGCGTGCACACAAAGGCCCGGTCCTGCCGCGACTTCCCCGTTATTATAACAGCGCCTTTGTGCCAGGCTGAACGCCCGCACGCGGCTTTGCCCCCCTTCTCCCGGGGCGCTGCAGCCCGCAGGTTGCTCACAGCAGGACCACCTCTGCTTGCCTGAACCTGCACCAAAGTTCCCCACCATTTGCCCAAAGCCTTCCTGGGAGGCTGTGCTGGGGGGACTGGGGGAGGCAGGACCAGCATCAGGACCTTGGGATGGACGTGCAGCCCCTCAAAGCTGCTGGGAAATGCTGGGGCAGGGCATGAGCCTGGCCGTGACACTGGCACATGCCATGCATCCCTGGGAAAGACTAAAGGATGCTCTGCACTCGGTGACTCCAGCCGTGCTGTAACAAATGTCTGACAGCACCGGGAGGCCCAGGCGGGCGGCGGGCAGCACGCACCGGGCACAGGCACGGCCGGGTGGTGCTGGCAGCACCCGCTCGGCCCAGCTGCAGCGTGCGGTGCTGCGCGCTCTGCCACAGCACAAAAGGAGAGCAGGCGCTGCCGTTAATGTAGTCAGTAAATAAATAAAGGAGGGCTTAAGCTTAGTGTACAGCAATCAGTCGGGAACTACAGGATAATTAACGCAGCGGGGGGCCGGACGGCTCTGCAGGCAGGTTTAAATGAACGAGTTCACTTTCATTGAGGCAAACTTGCTCTGCTCCCTGGTGAGCCACATGGGCAGGCAGCAGCACAGGCAGCGTGCTGTGGATGCTCCCTGCCCATGGGGACACTGACATTCCAGGGAGACACCCCCACCCACTGGGGTTGGTTTACGGATAGGACCTCCCCCATTTCCCCTTCAGAGCAGGCAGCCCCAAACTCACCACTATTGGTATCCCCATGGCTCACCCCAAGCTGGTGGGATGCATCCTTCCTCCACTTCCTCCTCTTCCTCCTCCTCCACCTCCTCTTGGCGGGCACAGGAATGGGAGACAGCAGGCTGAGACAACGGAATTAACTTTATTGGTTGTTTTTTTGTTTTCTAACTGCAGATTCAAGGTATACAACTGAACATTGCTATTTTCCTTATGAGACTTATAAATAAAAATACAAAAAATGTTCACTACAAAAAAATCTACCGTTAGTAGGATGTAAAAAATATTCTCTTTGCTATAGAAGGCACGAACTTCACTTAGTGACACATGGAGAGAAAAAAACCTGCAGCAGTATATTCTTCTTTTTTTTTTTGTTTTTTTTTTCCTCTGTCAGAAACACTGAAGTCTTACAAAGAAATGCATCTGAATCTACACAGGACGAAGGCAGATGCAGAGAGCTGCAACTAGGAGACACCACAACTGGTTTTTTTTTTTTTTTTTTTTTCTTTTTCTTTATTTTTCAGGAAACTTTTAGCTAACGGCATCTGTGGCTAGAAGACAGAAAGAGGACTTGCAAGCAGAACCGCAGGGGAGCGAACGCTGAGACAGGAAAAATCGTACAAAAAATAGGAGCCGATAGATACTCTGAGAAAACCAAAGGGGAACTTGGGCACCTTCTGCGCCCGGGCTCAGAGAGGTGCTGAGGTAGACGGAACGAGGACAGCGACGGACCCGAACCACGAGCGGCAACACAGAGCAACGGGACGGGCAGGCGGGCGCTCACGACACTGACAACAAGCCAGGGGAGAGGGAGCCCGGGACCACGGGGCCCCGCGCGGCGCTTGGTCCTCACTGCTATGATACACATATATATACTTATATATATATATATGGAGGGGTAGCCATAGGGGGCTGCGCCACAGCCAACAGCGCGGGGACGCGCGCCCGGGGTACAGCAGCATCACTCCAACGCTGACCCCAACACTGCTGCGCTGGGGGCTGTGTCTCTGAGGGACAGGGACGGTGGGATGGAAGGGGAGGTTAAAGCAAAAAAAAAAAAAAAAAAAGCCACATGAGCTCGGCCACGTGCTCCATGGCACCATGGCACCCGTGTCTGGCAGCGCCAGGACACCACGTGGACCTGCCGTGCACACGCCAGAAATTGCAGCAACTTTCTGTGTGAAAGAACTATTTTCTTTTTTTTTTTTAATATTTTTTTTCTGTTTTTTTTTTTTTTTTTCTTAGGCACAACAATTAAATGAGCCGTTCTCCACAGTCACATCCCGGATTGTACAGCAGCGGTGTCCGCCCTGCGCAGAGCAGCAGCGCAGGCGGAGCCGGCCTGGGGCGCCAGGGAGGAGGCTGCTCCCACAGCCGTATCCCTGCTTGGCACCAGGAGAGGTGGGAAGGGCACCCCAAACCCAGAGGGGCCATCAGTGTCCCTCCAAACGGTATCCAGACACTGTCCCACTCCCCCCCAGCTCCTTTCCCCCCCTTTTCACCCAAACGCAGCAAAACGACAAAAAAAGAGCCGCGGGATGGAACCACCAAGCCCGTGGCTGCGCAGAAGAAACACAACAAAAACAAACACAAGAGGTAGCTTCAGAAACAACACCCCCAGCCCCACGGGGCCAGGCAAAAAATACCAGTTTTGGTAAGGATAATGCACAACAGGAGGCCGGCAGGGACACCACTGCCCCACCACCTCTCCACCACCAATGCCGGGCATGTGACTGGTGCACCCCAGCCATGCCACCCCCTGTCCCTCCCAAATCAATAAAAGCTCATGAGGTCACAAAAAAACGAGGTAATTTCAAGTAAAATGTGCTAAATGCGGAAATATTCCAAAAGAAAGTTCAAAAAAACCCAAACAAAAAGCAAAAAAAGCGGCGAGCAAAGCCGCCTGCCACTGGGCCCCTCCTACTTGTGGGCTCCTGCGGCTGAGGGCTGGGCAAAAAACCCCACACTTGGCACCTTCCTTGGTGCCCCAAATCAACAGAAGAGGATCCCTGCATTCGGATTGATGCCACACGCTAACAGCTCCAACACTGACACTGACTGCACATCACCAAACCAACTGCATCTCCCCATGAGGGGCTTCACGCTTGCCCCGGGAAGGCAGGGAAGGAGGGGGAAATGCATAGAGAGGTCTTTGGTCATGGGGAGAGCAGCAGCCTCCTGTGACCCCTGAGCCCACCTGGACACCAGGCAACACTTCAAGGCAGCCTGGCTCACAGCTGGCTCCCTGCCCCAAACACCCTCCACTGGCCAGGATCCCCCCAGGATGCTCTTGCCAAAGCACTTGTGGCTCTCTGGGCACTGTGCTTTCCTGCCTGTGATGCCACACCCTGGGAGCATGAGAACCTGCCAGAATGGGGCCCAAGCTCCACATGGGAGCTCAGGTCCTCTGCAGGGCATCCATGGCAGGGTCTATGCAGTGACAGAGGGCACCAGGAATTAAAGCCTTCCCAGAGCACTAGCTGTACACACGCTTCCAAGGAAGCGCCTCCTTCCTACGTGGTCTTCCCAGCAGCACCAGTGGCAAATGCCAAGGG